TTCAAAATTTAATGACAAAATATAATCTTTATAATTTATTTATATAATGATATAAAATAATTTTTTTTCTTTATATTTATTCTTTTTATCTTTTTTTTCTTTTATTATTTAATTAAAATTATTATATTAAAATAAATTTTTCAATATTAAAAATACTTAAATATTTATTTTTAAAATTATTTTTTAAAACTATTTAATTTAACAAATTATTATACATTAATCTAATTATGGTTAAGGGTGGATTCGATTGGGGAAGGAGATTGAAGGGACAATGGTTTTTTGCGACTACGATGGGGGCAGGGGAATAGGCGAAGAAGGTTTTGGTGAGGGCATAGTTGGAAGTGGCGGAGTTGAGTTTCGATGGTTGAGCTGGACGATTGATGTGGTGCAGTGAAGGGGCGGAAGAATGGATTTGGAAGGTTGGGTCTTGGTAATAACTGGAAATGAGGAGTAAGGGAAGAATGAGTGAAAATGGAGGTTCCCGAGAGGGAGACGAGCTTGCAAGGGAGACAAATGTAGAAAGTTTGTTTAAAATTTTTATTAATTTTTTTTAAATAAAAAGACTTTCCACATCGGTTCATCCGGAACCGATGTAGAAAGTACTTTTACATCGGTTCCAGCTGAACCGATGTGAAAAGTCTTAAAAAAATTTCAAAATTGCCATCGCGTCACTTTCTACATCGGTTCTTTAAGAACCGATGTAGAAAGTCCGATGTAAAAGGTACATTCTGTACTAGTGAATTTAACGTGTACCAAATTTTGCAGTGCCTATCTCACAAAGTCTTTTTTACTTCCTTTTTATTTTTTGTTATCAAATTTCCAAGTAACATATCATACTAAAATTTTATCGAGTACATTTAAGATATTTTTTACTAAGTCTCACTTAATCAATTTTACATATTGTTAAATTTTATAATAATTGTATTTTTGGTGCTAGCAACAAATATAATAATATTCCACTTCAAAAAATAATAATTAGATAATATTAAACTCTTTAATTTAATCAATAATATTGTTCTATCCAACAAAAATCGAATACTCGTTAATATGTGACTCTGTAGGTTTATTACTAACTGGTAGTAATTAACTCATTAATTTACTAAGGTTCCTTAATGACCAGATAACATGAAATACCTTTTACTTTAGAACCACTAGAAGATTCATATAATATTCATTCCATCTATATAATTGTCAAATTCTAATAAGTTAATATGTGATAAATGACTTAAGAAACTCTTTTCTTATTTCATTCACAATGCCCCGATCAAGGTCTTTATAAAGTTCAAACTCATTACCAAGGATTGATGGATTCCTTCTTAATTAATCATTAATCCCACAAAAATTTAATTATATTTGATAATTATTCAACTAATACCACAGAGGTGTCCGATATCAAAATATAATAAATAACTTGTTAATTACCATGATAATCTCAAGTATAAGGAAATTATATATTTTTCTTCAAAAGAATTTCTTATTGACATTTCAAATGTAATATTAACCATTAGGAATTCTCCTTTGAATCAATTCAATGGTCATATATTCATATACACTATTTATATGTATAATTTAAAAAATGAGATCTATTAATCTTTACATGATAAAGACCACTACACACATATTAATCTATCTGAATTAAATATGTCCTATGATCTATCCGAATTAAAAATGTCCTATAATCTATCTGGATTAAAGATGTTCTATCCTCAATAATCCTATGATCAAGAACAATTTAGATACAAATTATATATAAGACTTATTTCTCATTATTATAATTATATTATAATAATAAGTCTTTAATTTTTAATCAAGGACCTCGTCATAATCTATGAATTATTATAATCATATGAATTATGTAGATATGATAATGAAATAAATAATAATAAACACAAATTTAATATTATTAATATGATAGATATGATAGATGTAATCTAGGACTTATCTCAAAACCAATAATTTATGTTAAAATATTAACTAATTCATATGATATCTTCTTTTATTTAAATATTTTTAATAATTAATCACTCAAATCATATTTATTAAAAATAAATAAATTTAAGAATGTTTTCAAAACTAATTCTAAATTAGAATAGAAAATATAGAAATACTTTTTATTTATAAAATAACAATAAAATTGTAATAATAATATATAATATTTATTTAAATATTTATTAATTTCTATACATTAATTATATTAATTTCTATACATTAATTTATTTTTAATTTTAATCTTTTAACTTTTTTTAAAATATAGTTTTATAAATTTATTTTAAATAAATTATAAAAATTTAAAATCTTTTATTAATTTACTATCAATTAAAATTAAAATATTATATAATTATCATAATTAAATTATTTTAAATTTTTCTAATAAAAAGTAAAAAACCTAATATGAATTCCTTAAAAATAAATAATATTTTATTTATAAAATCTATATTAGAAATGTTCTAATAAATGTTTTTAAAACTCATTAGTCATAAAGGTGAATACATAAGTTCGAAGTTTAAAGATTTAATTGAAATTCAATTAAATCTAATCAAATTTAATAAAATAATATTTTATAATATAATAAATTTGTTAATAATAATATTTTTTAATAATAATAATAACATTATTATTATTATTATTATTATTATTATTATTATTATTATGATTACCGTAAATTATAATGAAAATTATAAATATAAGATATATTAGGATAAAAATATAATAAAATAATTATTACTTAAAATTAATGTAATTAATATAAAATTAAAAAATATATATTATATATTTTATAAAAAATATTTAAAAAAATTAATCATAATTTTTTTATTAAAACCAATTTAATCCAAAAATCTAACTGATTTTATCTATTTTCTCTCAATTATTTTTATTTTATCTTGATTTAATTAAAATTTGACTATTCAAAAATAACTTTTTTTTTAATCCGATTATCGGTTCAACCCACCCATTCACTTAAGTTTTCAAAACACTGGTTTTAATACAATTTTTAAAAATTCAATGACATGACTATGTAAAATATAAAATCTTTTCAAGCGAATTAACTAAATTAATATTTTTAGATTTTAAATGTAAAAATAAAATGATAAACACAAATAAGTTAATTTACTATCGGATTAATTTAAACTAATCTGATCTCATTAGTTCAATTGTTTTTTTCTAAACAAAATTTACCAACTTAAAAAAAAAAAAACTCTTAAATCTATCGCTAACTATTGGATACAGCTTCCTACAAAAGTCTGTTAATATCTGTATACAAGGTTTTTTTTTATGATTTTTTTCCATAAAAAAATTTCACTTATTAAAAATAATATAAATAAAGATATAAATAATAGAATATATTTTTAAATGAAAAGTGTTAAAAATTAGTCTCTACAATATGGCATCAAAATAATCCAGTGTTACTTATAATAGTATTATTGTTCGATTTCTATGTCACGTAGCATTTAATATAACTTTCTAATAGACTAATTTAGCATTTATTATAAATTTATTTAAACCTTAGATACTGTTTTTAAGATACAACTTTAAATAATAAGTTATTTAAATTTAAAACTAAAGTTATTTAGTAATTATCCAACTGTCAAAATGTAAAAATTAAATGTTTAAAATAATATAAATTAAAGTTAGGGAACTACGCTAAATTAAAATAATATCTTCAAATTAAAAATATTTTGGTCCCTAAATATTATGTTTAAAATAGTAAAAAAGAAAAGAAGAATTTTTAAAAATTATTCTTAATCTCTTATATTTACTAATTTTGAGAATTTTTTTCAGTTAAGTCAAACGATATTCTAAAATTCGGGACTAAAAAATGATTAAAAATTTTATAATTTTCTAAATATTAAAATTAAATAAGTTAAAATTTCCTAAATAGTATATTATTGGGTCTTAAAAGTTTGAAAGAGAGAGAAGCAAAGTCTAAAAATCTTAAAATAGCCTTTTCAAAAAGTTTATTTTCAAAGAAATCTTCATTAAAAAAGAAGTTCAAAAAATCCCTTTAGTTAGAATTTTGCTCAATTCCTCGTTAAAGAAAACAAACCCTTGCAATAAGACTAACAGTGCATAATATTTAATGGACCATCAATTCCTCTTCATTTAAAAGATACTGCAGTCACCATCTGAGAGTAAAAAATTTGTTGTTATATTTTATTCGATAATTTAATATTGTAACTGCCGAGAATCCATGTCCAATATCTACTATGTAGCCTATAAAATCAGACTCTCACATCTTCTACTATCAAACTTCATCAATTATGCAAGTTTTCTCAATAACTTCAATTTTATTTAATTCATAATAAGTTTTGCTTAAACCAAAAAAACAAAATTATGCATAAGCCTGGTTTTTAACTTTTGATGTCAAATTCAACAACTAACGCTTTAAGCAATTGCGGCGAATGGAATGGCAAGATTATAAGTTGTAGGCATACCAAATGAGTAGCATATGTAGATGAAAAAAATAGCGAAACTTTCGGAACGTGTTTGGGTAATATTATGAAATTAGATGACTAGGAAACTCAGTAATGTAGCTTCCACCAACACTAGCAGCCAATACTAGTGTTTTCAATATACTCTTTAACACACTTTTTCCAACATTTTTGTTATTTTTGGTTAAAATTTATTGAGGTAGAAGTGATGGTAGTAGTAAGGTGATGTAATGGTTGGTGCATGCAAGATAACAAGCAAACAGAACCTAACTAGAACAAATTTCTTTAAGTAAATTCCAGATGTTAGAAAAATCCAACTATAAAATTTTCTCCTTGCAAGATCAACCCATCATAAATTAAGCCTTGGAGATCCTCAAAATGCCATCGAACTCTACATCTAAACACATAACTCATGACCCCAACAGATAACAGAGATACCATACTTCAAGTCTAATAAGAAAGTATCAACAAAACGCCACAGGTACCTTAGAATATATCTGTTTCTATGTATGTATATATGTAAATATATCTCCGAGCAGCAGCAAGCCCAGACACATGCAAAAGTACGATTCAGTGCACAGAGGATCGGGGAGCACGAGGGCGGACAGGTGTCTTTGATGGACTTACCCTGCTCAACAAATAATTTTTGAAGAAACATCAAAAAGGTTGCCATAGGTTTTAGGACATGACGGTTGAAATCAAAGGAAATCTGTTAATCTAACCTTATAGGCAGTGAACCCAATATCACACCACTACAGCTCAGGGCAGCAATTGCACTCTCAGCCTGCAAGAATGAGGCAATAGAAGCAAATATTAGCTCAATATTTGGAGACAATTAATAATACTTGCCTTTAAGATATAATTCTTGGAAGTAGAACACTATGTCAATTTCATTATTTCATAGATACAAAGAAAATCGATTTTCTAAACCCTTCCATCCCAATATGACAATTTACTAGGACCACACCAGTGAAGAATAACTCTACAGATGCATCTTACAGAAAGAGAGAAATTGAAACTAGCAAAGCTAGGATGATACAGAATAACAAACACTACAAAAGCAAAAGATGTGGCATATTATTTTGGGAGATCTTTCTGGATTCAACAAAATGATCCGGTGAAAAAGGAACAAAAACGACTTGGAACATTGCCAAAAGAAGATGACAAAATAGAAGTAGAAGATGGATAAAAAGGACCCCACATTGAACAAACATATCCAAAAATTAAGCAAGCAACTCTGGGTCATTAACAGAGTCAACAGCAAGTTTGAGTATGGCTCCATCGAATTGAAGACCAGGAGGCTTTGGAAAGTCTAAAATGAAATATCTATACAAATTGAAATTCATAATATTTAAAATCTGATCAATTTTAAATTATTAAATTTAAACAATTAAAAAATAAAAGTCTAATAGTCTCCATCAATTCAAACTGAGCCACCAGCATGTTATTCATGAAAAACAAACTATACCTTGTTGAGTAGGCCTAGGCACCACTGCCATTTCATGGCCAGAGTGAGCCCACCATATCGATTATAGCAAAATGGATATGCATCTCTTAACTAGATCACCAAAGCATCATACTGGAGCATAGTACATGCCAAGTGTAATAATATGTTGTAATCAAGTATCAAAAACTGTATCTATCCAGTTGGACTTCTAATCTTGAAAACACCAACTATGTTCAATACACACAACATCGTTGAAGTGGATTTTCCACCCAATGTTGCAGCTCATGGCAAGTAATTATAGAGGCAAGAAACTGATGAACTTTGCCAGTCCCGTATTATAGTAATCCTCACACTCCATGGATGAATAAAGGTGAATATCATTTTCTCATATGCAGTCCATGGATGAAAAAAAATAGTGCAGCTTTCCTCCAACAAAATGGGGAGCCACCTAAAGCCTTTTGACAGTATTATCGTCCAAAATATTGGTAAGGCTACTACTCAGTCTGAGATCAATCAACCACTTCTATTTTATATGAAAATTAATTACTATAGCAACATATTTTCACCACACTATTTGTTTCAAAAGTATTTCATGGATTAGGGTGTTTCCTATTACAGCTTTTTTTCCTTTTAAAAAAATATAAACTAGGAAAATTAACAAGTGTTTTGCTAGGAATTGCTCAAAAAGCACCTGATCTGGCAAAGGTTAAAGGCTAGCACAAACAAAATGTTGTATAAAACAAAGTAACGTTCAAAATCTGCTAGCATCCTCCAACTTGGAGTATGCAACCTATACCTTAGACAAAAGCCAATTATTTTAGGTGTTATATGAATTGCATTTGTGAATATTATTGTAATTTAATATTTGGTTCATCATAAAAAAATTGATTTAATTTGTGACTCTTCTCTCTTTCCTTTTCTATGAGTAGGCATCATAGTGTAGCTTGACTTCAAACCAAATTTGTCAACGTTAATATCCTAACTAGAATAAAAAGAGAGGTCAATTAAAAATGGATAAGTACCTAACTAAACCCTACAAAACCTGCTTGTAAGATAAGATTTGTACCTTAATTATATATTATAATTTAACCATATATCTAGTTGGTGTGAAATTTTCAACAAGAACAACAATGAAAGTATGATTGTTATTGAAATCCCTATCAACTAAAGGTACAATAACATTAGAATATCGATGAGATACAAAGCTCACCTTACAAGTTGATCTTGTAAGATTGATTTAAGTACCTCTTCATTTCTAATATAGTATCAGAATCAACTCTAATAATGTTAGGACATTATCCATTAATGGTTGTTAGAATGAATAATCTGTTATAGTATCGATATTGGACCACAGATCCTCAATGTGAGCGAGGGAAATACAAACCTCACCTTACAATTGTAAGTTGTAACACAGATCACAAAATCCTATCTATAATGCAAATTTAAAGGTAAATAAAACCCACAAGTGAGGTTAATATTATAGCTCTAATATAAAAGAAAATTTTATTTATCTGTAGTCTTATACATTATATGTACAAAATAACTTAAGTTTTACTATTCAAAAGAAGAGGATATGTTTTCTGCAAACAACCAATACAATGCTGTTTGACACAACCAGCAAACAATTAGAAACTAGTTAAAAGAAGAGAGATTATTTGACAAAATGTAGAAAAAAAAAAAAACTAGTATTGGTCACACCTAGCAGTCAGCTACAACCAAGTTTGAACTTTGAAGGAGATAATTGGGAAACCACAACTTTGATACACAAACAAACTCCAACAATCGCATTGCCATCAGCCATCACCAACAAGAACAAATCAACCTCAAGACCAACCACAGATCACATATTGAGAGATGACATCAAACAAGAAATAGGGGTGCAGATGGATCTTGTTTTTTTTTTTTTTTTTTCCCTTCCAGATTGGTTTGGACCGACCCCCAAATTGTAGGCTCACTACAACATTAAATGTGTTTGGTTTTACATTCACGTAAAACCAAAATGTCACTAAGCTTCTGAGATCGCATCATTTACGTGCATACATAGGTAGCAGTTGCCAAATCAAACACTCAAAAAGATTGGCAATTTCACCGCTTCTACAATCTTGCTTGGCAATTTCACCCCAATCTCACTAATGCAAGCAGTGAGTGTGATCAAGACTTCTGGTCCAACAACAAAACCATGTTTGGATTAAAATCATGATCTGGACAACCTTGTTATGAATACAGAACCAACCCAAAGCATCATTCCTCTTTTATGCAATAAAGAGAAATATGACCAGTATCATCACTTGAGGTGAGTTTGAAATTGCGTGAGAAGACTGAGAAGAGACCAAATCTTCATCAAATCTGTTGATGAGAGACATATTTACAGTTTCTACCCATGGCTGCACAATGTGTATGAAGAGGAGGTGAATGAAAAGGAAGGTGAAGCCATTCCCAACATTTGATTTACAGTTCTTGTTTTCACAAACAATACAAGCATATGAACTTAAAAGAGAGACTTCTTAACTTAAGTTTCTCATCTTACACTAATAAATAGTATCTTTGTTTTACTAAATTACCCAGCATTTAAAAACAATGTTTGGGTGATTCTCCTAAACGTAAAGATATAGTAGGAGGGTCTTCAAAGCTTCATGTACACACATTTCTCTTGATTCTTTTCTTCAAAAAGGCTGTTTTGGAACTATTTCAGCAGGCAAAGCACAGTTACTATAATGGATTCTTCTTTTGGAGGGTAACCACATAATTGCAAGGCCAGCAGTAGCACTCCAATAGATAATACAAAATATCTAAGTAAACTAGAGTTCACTCAGAAGAAAACAAGACATTTGAAAAGTCAGTGAACAATTACCAGTGCAAACTCAACAAATGCAATTCGAGTTGAATGATGGTAATCCCCAAGAAGCCTCAAGCGCTGAACCTAATAAAGCGAAATATTGAAAAATATTTTACAACATACTCATTAACCAACAACAAACAGTATTCAGCAAGATTAATACACCAAAATAATGGAAAATTTCTCATATGGTGTTTAAATTCAACCACCAATAAGCACTGTAATCCTAGTTCCATTAAAAGTCACAAACCTCTCCACAAATAGATTCAAAGAAGTGTTTGACATCTGCTTGAGTAAGCTGCAGAAACAAAAAAAATATAAAAATGTGAGATTGTGCAACAACAGCCGTGAGAGAAGGACCAAGTAGTTCCTTCAAGCAAGATTCCACAAATGTTTCAAATCCTAAACTACCTTCTTGTCGATATTTGTGCAATAAATTGTTCTTGAGCACATCTCCCTTTCATCTTCAGACTGATAAATACAGCACCATTAGAAAGGTAACAAGCACAGTTACTTCACTGTAGCCAATCATCTTCTCATGAGTAATAGACGTCATGAACAGAAAAATATTACCCTAGGCAAAAATGTTGGATTCACAGGTGCGATGGCAGTTTTTGAAGGCAGCACTCTCAGCGGGTAATATCCAAGCATGGTACCAGACAAGCTCAAGGCAGCCCTTGCTCCATCTGTGTGATAACATCGTTAATACAGTGAACTATCAATAACATTCACAGCCTATGAGCAACATCCATTTGCAAACAAAGTTACCTTCATCTGTAAACTCAATGAATGCAAACCGAAGAATAGAGTTAGGATCTCCACATACACGGCAATCAACAACCTGTAGCCAGGAACAAGGAATCAATTCAATAATATGGTCCACCATAATTAAGAAGAAAAGACGTGCCCTAAACAAATTGTAACCATTGCTACCTGGCCACAGTTCAGAAAGAGTGCTGCCAACTGCTCTTCAGTAACCTAGACACAAACAGAAAAACAATAATTTGCAGGTATTCCAACAGAAAAGAAAACAATCAATCCCACAAGTACACAAAAAAAATCGCACAAATACACCTAACAAACACAATCAATCACACGGATACACCCGGCAAACACAATCAATCGCATGAATACACCCGGCAAACACAATCAATAGCATGAATACACCAGACAAACACAATCAATTGCATGAATACACCAGACAAACACAATCAATTGCACGAGTTCACCCGACAAACGCAATCAATAGCACAAACACAACCAAAAAACACGGCATGCTAGTTGAACAAGAGAATCCACAATGCAGCTAAACAACAATCATTTGCTGGATACACGTGGCAACATTGCACAATCTACAACGCCGCGAAACAACAACCATTTGCATCAATACACGTTGCAAACATTGAAAACTAGCTGAAAAAAGAGAATCCACAAAAAAGCTATACAATAATGACTGGCTCGAATAGACTTGGCAAACATTGCGGCTTAACTGAAACAAGAGAATCCACAACAGAGCTAAACTTATACCAGTTGATCAATGTCAGACACATAAACGGTCCTCCTAATCATCTCTTCTCTTTTCTCCATATCCATTTTATGATTCACTCTTCGCTTCCCAGGATTATAGCCATTCTTCCTCTGTAACACATAATATTGTATCAAACCATAACATTCATGCTAGTGACCTTGTATTAGAAGAAGAAAGCATAATTTAATAGAAATCAATACATACCCTTCTATTGTTAGTTTGTCCATTAGTATTGCCAAAATTATTAGGCAGCATAAAATTGTTAGTGTAACCAAACCCAGCATTTGGTCCAGCTAAAAAACCATGAGTATTGGTTAGGGATGGGGGCACAAATTCCTTAGCCATGGGGTTCAGCTTTGACAAAAGCTCTTCCAAATCCCTCATGTCACGCTTGAAACTCTCACCCCCATTCTCCCCACTCATAACCCCGTTCATACCATACGCATCTTTGTTCATCCCATTTGCGTGCATCTGAGTTTTATAGCTGTAATTTCCGTTAGGAACTGTCATAGAGCTGGGAACTCTCTCTTGATGCCCGTTGTCCAGATTCTGATCGCTTCTCGTTTTCTCGACCTCACTCGCTTCCGCAGACACTATACCGCTATCCAAACTCTGATTCGAAGAGCCGATTTTTGCCCCAACATTCTCAGCAACAGCCATAATCACCACTTTGGTAGAAATGAAAAGTCGTTGTCTTTTTTACAGCTTTAAGATTTTTTTCGTGAATCTGTATTAATCAGTAAAACCTTATAAGAACAAAAAAAATAAAGAAAGAAAGAACGAAAAAACCTTATTCCTAACGAAAAATAAACCTGGGTTTTGTCTAAAAATTCTTCATTGGCGTAAGATCAAACCGATCCTGTGGATTGAGACACAACAAAAAAAACCTTTTAAAACCCCATAAAAGAAACCAGAGAAATTGATGATAGAGGTTTATCTTACAGATGATTAATGTTATTGAGAGATGTGAGAGGATAATATTCTTCGGATCGTCCGTTTTCACTGCACTGACTTTTTGGACCTTGCAGCAGAGAGGAACGTCCCAAATTGATGTCTTGATGGTGATGATGAATGCATCAAAGAAAAAATTGAACAGCTTAACTCAAATTTTTTTTTTTTTCATTAATTTTCCACAACTGCCCATTCAGTCACACATGTCGCCACGCGTCTGATGCATCCGTCAGTATACTACTCATAAAAAAACTTAAACAAAAAAAAAGCCACGGATTTGATATTCAAGTCATCAATTAATGAGACACTTATCTTTCATAATAGGTAATGTTAATGGAATTAAACATAATTAAGAAGATTAATAATTAGGTCATGGCTAATAATGTAATACTAATGAAAAAGATAATTTTAATTTTTTTTATGTAAAAGGTACTTTTTTTACTTTGATTTTGACATTGTATTTATGATATCAGCACTCTAAGAAAATAAAAATTAAAGTTTTATTAAATAACAATAACTTACTATTTATTTACTGTTAATTTTTTTTAATATTTTACTAATATTTTTTATAATTTCAGAATACTTATATATAAGTTTTTCCATAAATATTTTTATAAGAAAAAAAATTTAATTTTTATAATTTAAAATCAACTTATTTGTAAAGTTATTTAATAATGTTTTAAACATGGAAATAATAAAATTAGTATATATTTATTTTTATAAATAATTTATAATTTTTTCTTGTTGTTATTTATTTTTAGTATTTAGTTTTTTTTAATACTTACTATTTTTATGCATATTAAAATAAAGATATAATTTTTTTAATTAATTTTTATGTTAAAATGTTATATTAAATTCATATTTAATAATAATAATAAAAATATTTTTAAGTTATCACGAGATGAAATATAAATAAAAATGTTATAAAATGTATAAATGTTTATAAAAATTATCATTGTAACAAAGTTTATAAAAGTTTAGAACGAAATACTTTTGCATAATAAGTTTTATTTAAAGTAAAAATGTATTGTTTACCATTACATTATACTATAGATGGTTTTATTAAATTATTCATTTTTTTATCACAATATTTTGTCTGACGTTATCTACAAAATAATTCTTTAATTCATTTAAAAAATTAAAACTAATCTTTGGAAACTATTTTGAAAATCTAAAAAAAAGTTACATCATAAATAGTTTGCATTATCTATTTCCCCTAATCTAATGCATTAAAGATTAACGTTTTGTAGTACTATAATGGTCATTAGTCTTATAAACTTATTTTATATATTTATATATAAGGTGTTCAAACTTTATTTTATGTATTATAAAAAAATACTATAATACCAAGGATTATATAATCCTTTATATTAAAAATTATACTATATCTTATTGGAGAATGTTCAGATCAATAAACATATTCTCAACCTATATTTCATCTCTTTCTTTTTAGAGTGAAACTATGTCATTAATACCAGTTTTATGAAGAATGTTAGACACATGGGTTATTGCTTAAATGTTAGTCATTGTTCTTCAATTATTTTTTGATAGTTTTAGACAATTTTTTGTTATATTTTTTAGAAGAAAAAAATCAGCTAAATTATTCTATCACATTTATCATTATTTCTATTAGAAGAGAAATGAAAGAAATAATGAAAAAAAAAGAAAAAAAATATTAAAATGGATTGTTGACATATGACTCATTTAATTAGTAGTCATGGATGAATGTGGTTGGCATTGGCTAGTGTTACAGTATTTGCCTGAAACTTTTCTAGACCATTACAACCTACAGCGAATTTTATTTATAAATGTTTCAACATTAATAATTGAATTATTATTATATTATATAAACACATGTTCAACAATTGTGTTTATATATTTACACAAATTAAATTCAACCAAAATAGGATAATTTATTAAGTTCTTTCTTACTTCCCCTTCCTCCTTTTTCTTTTTAATATTTATCTTTCTTTAACTATTTTCTCAACTTTAAATAAAAAATATTTTTTTAAAACTATACTTCAAAATAATTTTAAATATATTAAATTATTTTTAATAATAATATTTTAATCTTTATTTAACTGAAATACATATTTTAAACAAGTTAATTTCTTAAGCACATCTTAAATTATTTTAATTTGAAATAAATATTACAAAAATGAAAAACAATTAGTTAATTCAAAAATATTATTTTTATAGTAAAAGTGTAGATTTAGTGATTAAATATTTATTGTGTTATTTAATTACATTCGTAATTAATGTTAATTTTTTATAACAAATGTTTAGATTTTAATCATTTATACCATGTAAACATTAACATAGTATTTTATTAAATATAAAAAATTTCTTGAAATCAAAATTAAATTATTTACTAAAAATATAAAATTTTACAGTTTATTATAATCTTCTTTCATTATTAAATAAATTATTTATGATTTAAAATATTTATCCCCTTCAAATTAATTTAATATATATTCAAAAATTTATTTTATTCAAAACTTATATTTCTTAGACAGAATAAACTATACTCTTACTCAAAATGAATCCTTAAATACATTTTAAATTACATGTAAAAAAGTAAATATGAAAAATATAGAAAAAGCAAATTCAAATGACTTAAAGATTTCTTAAACATTTTAAAAATTTAAATTAATATACTTTTAACGGTAAAAAGGTTGTCGATTTTTCGCACTTTATTCTACTCATTTATGCTGTCTTTGATCCTCTCTCTCTCTTCAGAAGCTACCAAACTCAGTTAAAGGGGTAGGTCGTTTAAAAATGAAATTATCCTTCGCAACATAATTGTCTTAGTAAATCTAAAAGGTACAACCGCAACCGCTTGACTAATGTCAAACATTTTTGTTTAAATAAAACAACACAACCACCGAACTGGTAAACATTTACCAAGAAAACAGCCTAGGGACATCAAAGGTTTCCCTTTAGAACAATTTAGTTGAAAATCAAATATAATTCTGATATTGCCCAAAATGGCACAATATCTCCAGAGAGCTACCCTCGTCTTGTCAGAAATTCATCCACTACCTGACAGCACCTGCAAAAAAAAAAAAAGTTCAATGCTGCCACTTAACACAGATTATTCATTTATAACAAATCATGTAAACTCGAACAAATCGGAAAAAAATCAAACTTATGTGATTTATATTAGACTTTCTGGTTACAAAACACTTTATGACGATCCTTCGACGTTAAAAAACTCCGCATTTTACTTAAATTGTTTTTTCATAAAACCTACTGCAGTTTTAGATTTGAACAAAAGAAAAACAAGTGTACAAAATTGTGAATACATTTTATTTGATGAAAAGGTTAAATCCTCCAATACATACTAATTCATCATCAGCACATTAAAATTCATGTCATATTCCTACTTCACAACAGAAGTCTTATCATGATTCTAAATCATTAATTTAAAAACATAAGTACCTGGCGAGGAGATCCAGACCGTGAGCGTGATCTTGGCCTGCATAATTCAATCAACAATTCAGGTGCATATAGAAGGCATTTTAAAGCATTTGATCAGAGCATAGTACGTTTGTATATACCTTGAAGATTTAATTGGTGATGCTGATCGTGATCTAGATCGTGACCTTGACACAGAACGACCCAAAGATCTACTGCAGAATGAAACAACAGGTTTCCATGAGTAAAAGTAATGCCTAAAAGCTACTTGGCAATGAACATTAAGAAAGAGGTCACACCTTCTGACCCTTTTCGGACTTCTGCTCCGGCTGGGGCTTCTGCTGCGGCTCCTAGAACGACTACTCTCGTACTTTCTCACCTGCCAAACACCAATCAATTATGTCCACTACTTTTTATTCAAGGATACACTCCACAAATCACTTTAACAAAATCACAAAACCATAGAATAATCCAGCACATTCATTTTTATCGTATGGGGTACTAAAAAAATTTATACAGAAAGACTGAAAGATCTATCAGCATGTTAAAATGTTGTTTGAATCCGCCAACAATAAACACATGTATTGAGGAATTACTCTAGATGTAACTTTAGGATGAGAAAATTTTATAATCCTAGGATGAAAAATTACCCGAATATAAGCTCTTGCCCAAGGATTTCTAAACTCGGTGTCATCCAGTTTCCGAATCTGTAAAGGGGTGTGTTAGAAAACAGATAAAGGAGTATAGCAGCAATTTTGGAATCATTGAACTAGATGAGGAACTTACAGCATACTTCATGTCGTCATAATTAGTGTAATCAACAATGCCAAAAGTCCCTAAATAGAGAACAATATAATGAGTGATATTCACAAAATCTACATTTTAAAAATTTGAAATGTGTCAGATTACGAAAGGCTATATAAGTAACCATCTGATATCACACAAAAGGCTTATGTAAACGTAAAGACACTAGCTCAAAATTATCTCCAAAATGTTGTTCCTCTCTACCTTGATTGAGAATAATTAGATCTGCATATAAAATACTATATACCGTAGATTCTTATTCACCAAAGTAGTGTTGATAAGCTTTATGAAAAAAAACCTTTATATAAAAGGTTATCTGGGATGCTTGATGCCTATTAATATAACACCATAAATGCATGAATCAATGCAAAGTTTATAGAGTGTTAACGGCCCTAAACTGCAAACAATAAATACTAAAAAAAGTAATTTTCCAACTCTAGAATTCCAACCTACACAACTATACAAGTTGAGTTATGCAGCCACATAATTGATCGTTCTCATCACACTTCATACTGATTAAAATTCTATAAGATGGGTAAAATCCATTGACATCAGCCATCACCTTCTATCACCAAGATAAAAAAAAAGCCTCTTTTTCCTTCAGATGTCAACCCCTATCACCTAGAGAAAGAAAAACCCTGGCCTCTTTTCTCATCAAACACCAGCTCCTCCTCTCCTCACCCAATCATTGTGTCACAGAAGAAGTTACAGAAAAGACAGATGAAAGGCTGTCCAGTAATGGCAGAAGTATTATTGGACTTGGACTTCAATTTCTTTTACAATATATTATGATTTATCAAGGAATTAAATACAGTATCATCAAGGTAAAATTTAGATCCTTCAAGATTTTTTAGGTCAATAGGTTCTCACTCTTTAAAGTCCTTAATGGTGTTTAATTAACCTTGGAGGCAGCCAACTTGAATTGTGAACTTAACTAGATGGATCTTTGGATATTACCCTACACCTATACTAATAGTGGACTCCAAACTGATGATAATGCAGAAAATGATAAAAATTTCAGAAAATGATATATATATATATATATATATATATATATATATATATATATAAAATTCAATTATCTTTATTAAAATAAAATTAAATAAATATATATATAAAATAAAACTGACACTATTGGAGAGTGTTACAAGTTAATAGTGGAACTAGATGTTATATTGTCTCTCTGCTCTCCAGCAGCATTATAAAGAACACCCCAGAAATCACAGAACGACCACTTTTCATGCATTACAAAATTAAAGAAAAGTTTGCATTAAAAAAAGCACGTCAAAATTAATGTCATTACAAAAAAGAAAGGAACCTCCAACTCCAATATAATACCTAGTTTCTTTTGTTTCTCAGGTACCAAACATAGGAATCATGAAAAAACTTGTACCAGTGTAAACAGAAATTTAAGGTAAGCAAAATACAAAACCAAAATGAAGGTGTACCTTCACTATCACGGGAAACCTCAGCAAAACAAACATCACCAGCTTTTCGCATATGATCCTGAGACCAAATATCACAACATAGTGAGGTGGGAACAATTTGAGTAATAAAGTTTACAATATGAAGCTTATAATACCTTCAAATCTTGCCAGGATGCAGAAGAGGGCAGTCCACGAACAATAACTGAAGATGAAAATAAAAGCTTAGCTCAATGGTGTATGCAAATATATGAAAATTTCATCCACGGTTGATTTGTTAATACACATACCAGCTATTTTATATAAATTAAGAACCATATAAAAGAAAAGAGAAGACAAACAAAACAAGTTTCTAAAAATGAAAAATCCGTAAACATTTTGTTTAGCCATGGACTGGCTCCAATGTTCTAAGTAACAATTAAATGATAGCAAAATGGATGAGAAGTCTGAAGAAAAATTTGTAGTATTTGCACTCTATCCTTCTCTATAATAACAGAATTCTCCTAAAAGTATAATGGACATACCTCGAAATTCAGAGTGGCGTGAGATGCCAAAACGACCCCCACCACCCCCACCACCACCACCACCACCTCCACCTCCATATCCACGCCGATCACTTGATGATGGTCCTCTACCTCCATGAGCAAGCTCCACCTGCAAGAAAAACACGTGAGACATACCATTATAAGTATTACCTCAAAAGCCAAAAGTTTGAACAGCTCCTTACCCTTAACCGACAACCATCAAAGTTGTATCCATCTCTACCTCGAATTGCATCTTCGGCATCTCGAGCATTATCGAACTAGTAACCAAACAAACAATGAATGATCAAATGGCAAGAAAGATAAAAACACATGGAGGGAAGGATAAATACCTCAATGAGTGTGCTAAATAAAGAGAAAAAAAAGTACCTCAATGAGCATACTAAATAAAAAAAATACCTCAACAAAGCAATAACATGGAGGGCGGGGAGGAATCTTCAATTCAATATCCATTATACGGCCATACTGCAGTGGAAACCGTTTAACTATAAATTATATTGAAATAAACTAAACATGTCATTGTTACAAATGAAAGAAGCAGACTTCATAAATATATACCATCAAAGGTAAACAAGGTCCATAACAACAAAATATACAAGTATGTCAAATATTATTTATCCTTCCTAAATATATACCATCAAAGGTACACAAGGTCCATAACAACAAAGTACACAAGTATGCAGGTCAAATATTATTTATCCTTCCAGTCATAATAATAACAGTATTATTAGATACTAGTTATTCATCAATTAATATAATTTCAAAATTAATTTTGTTAGGTTTTCTGCTGAGGACACAAGGCAACCATATAAGAAAATTATATGATATTTTTAAGCCAAAATCATAAGGCAATAGGATTGTGTCTTTCCCGGTCATAAGTAATTCAACTTTTCCATTTGAGACTCTAACTCTCATGTGAATTCCAACACTCTCTTAAAATGTGAATCATTACACATTGGATCACTCTCCCCTCCAGCTCACCTACCCACTCAACTAAGCCAATCATCAAAGAAATCATTTGTTCTGATACTACTAGGGTTTTTGCGAGAGGAGCATCATTAAGTCAAGCATACAAGGTAATCATATAAGAAAATATGACTTCACCTTCAACCTAAAACCCTAAGGCAATAGGATTGTGTGTCTTTCTTACTTATAAGTTATTCAACTTGTCCATCTCTCCACAATGTGGAACTCTATACAAAATATGGTTCTAGTAAGGAGACTCACATTGCATAATTTACAAAAGCATCAAGGTAGATTCCAGATAATGGGTTAAATTAAACATACAAAATTATAGGAGACCAAACAAACTGAACAAGCAGAAAATATAATCCACTAGATGCACCCAATATAGCACATGCAAAGAAAAAAACTAACCTTGTAGAATAGATCTTCAATTTCTGACTCTCTTATGTCAGAAGGCAGGTTGCCCACGTAAATTGTGCGAGAAAAGCGACCACTCATGTTTTATAAGTGTTATAAGTTTGTCTACAAACAAAATTTGAAGCTCGTTAGTAAGGAGGATTTCTCTCACTTTTTTGAAGCCAAGCAAAAGCCTAGAATGACTAACTATCATCATCATTACTCTAATGATTACTCAAAATTAAATAAAACCAAAACTATGAAGCAAACCAAGAGAGCAATCCTTGAGGTGAGCCGTGCTCCACAAGCTCCATTGCTCATTTGCTCCAAGATGCTCCAAAGCTATAACAATATTGAAACTAAATTTGATCTCCTCATCCTTTCCAGTATATTAGCAGGCATACATCTTCTGAGTGAGCAAGAATCTCCAATAATTTTAAAAAAATAACCATAACTCCACCCCGTTTCTCCCATTCCCTTTCTATATCCCTATGTTTGATTGCAAAGCTCATATTTGTCCAAGCGCTTGTCATCTATCATAAAGAAAGCATTGAAGTCATGAGATCAAATTAAGATCGACATAGACTTAAACCTTAATCAGCTCTCTTTTAACAGCATTGAAAAATCATCTCTGGCAAAAATTCGCAACATGACCTCTAACTTTATGGGTATGTACTAGTTAAATCATCTTAATTGTCCTGGATGTGTGATGGGACCACAATTCTCTACCCTCCCTGTCTGAGACACACGCGTTTGTACACAAACCATTTACAGAAACAGTCTTTGTTTGAATTACTATTGGAATCCTAAAATTCACAAGTTACAACGAAAAAACCGGTAATCAGGTTCTTGAACCAACTTATAAAGATTGCACCCCCAGTGAATTACAACGTCGGCAATCAAATCAGCTAATTTGGAGTAATCGAACTTCCTATAAGATAACTCGGGGAAACAACTACGAAAGAAAGAGGGAAAAAAGAATTCAAAATTAAAAAGTAACTATTGAGCAAAGTCTTCATAATATGCCCACAACAACCCATGTCGTGCATATAAATCCAAAAATATGGACATGAAGAAATTAAAAATTCAAAACTCACCAAAGGAATCGAGTCAAATTCCTCAAAACCCTAATTTCACAGTGGGTCACTCAAATCGAATAGAGGCATGCGACAATGTAAATTCAGCAAGACAGAAATAATTCGTTGAATGCCATACCAGAAACAGAGAAGGAACAGCTTGAGGACCCAATCGACCCTTCCTCTCGAGGCTGAGGCTGAAGTTGAGAAACCCGATACTTCCGAAATTGAGAGAGCAGTGGAGCGTAAATGGTAAAGTTGTAGGGTTGAACCAATTTATGGTCCCAAAATGGGTTTTGGACCTCCAGTACACGCTGGCCCAATTTTGTTACTCTTGAACTGTAAAAATAATCAATTAATAATTTAAGAAAATTAATAAAACTCTCTTTTATCCTTGTTTTCGGACACATTTTAAAAGAATCGTTGGTCCTTTTTATAAAATATTTTATATTCAAATTTATGTTTTCCCCTAATAAATATTTCGAATATTATCTTTCATATTAATAAATAGTGAGAAAAGAACTTTAAGTCATGAGTAATGAAGGTTAAATTGGTATGTTAGTAATAATTTTAAAAAAATCAAGTAATAAATTGTCCTTTTGTTGTTTTCTTTTAAAAAGAAAAATATTAAGGTTAGGAATGATTTGTTTAGTATCACACTAAATAGTCTTTATTATTAATTTTTTTTAATTTATAACATATAGAAACGGATTCGTTATTTTATCTGTGGCATGGATTATTTATATGGGTCGAATTTTAAAACTTGGCTTGACATATGTAAGGTCTAACTTAAAGGTGCATTTTTATTTTATCTGTAAGGCCTATGCCTAAATGTTTTTAAAACTTTAAGAGGTACATATATAATATAACCTGACATATAATTTTCTTTAAATGAAAGAGATATTTGTGTAATATTTAACTTAATATATATTTTAATAATTGGTTAAAATGACAAGGATATTTTTTTCATCTCGATCAAATAAGTTTTTGAATTCAAATCTTTCATTTTTTTTTACTGTATAAATTTCCCTCGAATCAATTGAATTTATGTATAGAAAAAATAACATGTAAATAGTAGGGAAGCTTATGTTAATATATATATATATATATATATATATATATATATATATATATATATATATATATATATATATATATATATATATATATATATATATATATAATGCCATAATAGATGAATTCATCAAATGTAAGTAAGCTTTGAGGCTTTATCTGAAACTGGTTGTTATAGAATTAAATGGATTTATTAAGATTTTCGTAGCAATTTTGGTGTGTTTTTTTGGCTTATTTCTTCTTTGCTCCCTCGATCACCACAAGTTTTGCATCCATTGAACGTAGCTTTCTACTCATTATCTGACTAGTGAAATCCAAACCATATACAAGCGTTTGTGGCATGCGAGGAATGTACCATGTAAGCAGACCCCGACAACTTCTATCCAGGTGACTTAAAAATGGAGATATGAATTATACAAAACAAACAAATGACCTGCAATTATATAAACCATGCATAAATTTTCGACACAAAATCCTCTTCAAAACTCCATCTGTTGTGCTCCAATTAAGCCGACGGCTGATATCTTTTTCCTTTTTGTAATGTGTATGTATGTTACAACAAAATTCCGCTGGAAGTGGTAACTATATAGTGAAAAAGAAAAAGAAAAATGCTCCTTTTGTTTTTGGAAAATAACCCAAATTTAATGAAAGAATAGATTTGAATACCCATATACGCTCAGCAGAGATAGGATTGTGACACGAAGTTATAACCTATGCCTCTCACAAATTACGGAAAAAATTTGATGTATAACTACAGACCATGTCTGCAAACCCCCTTTTAGTCATTTGGATCCATTTCCTCGTCTTGATCCCAAAGCGGAGTCTGATTGGTTTTGCTACCGTTTTTGTCAGATTCAGATGCATCAACAAAATCATTACTTTCATAGTCTGCCAGCCCTTCATCTTCGGATTTGACAGCTTCTTTCTCCAATGAACCTGCATGATTAGCATGTTGCATCCATTTGGGGCACACATCTTCGCCTCCATACAGAACGTGGCCATCCTCACCTCTGACACGATTAGTAGCCTTGGTAGAAGCTATTCTACAGGAGCATTCTGGAAGTGGATGTGAAAGGAACATTGCTGGTTTTGACCAAAGAGATTGCCTAACGAAGCCTTCTTCAGTCAAACTTTTGTTAAGATGTTCCTGAACTAAAGTAGTCCAATTATATTTAGGATGATACAAATTTTCACGAGTCATGTTGAAAAGTTCCGCAACAACTTTCCTGTGAAAGACCAGATATACTTATGTCATCATAAATAAAAACAGAATTTAGGGAAATATCAATATATAACTTCAAAAGAGAAGTCTCAACAACTAATTAAAACCACATACACCAAGTGATGTCCAGTCGAGTAGCATGCTCATACCAATGGAAGGTCATCATACTTATCACTTCAAATTGAAATAAACATAAAATTACACACGTTCAAAATGCACATGTGAAAAGGAGGACATCTCACATAAACATTTGATTATTTGCCTTAATGCGAGGAACAAGGAGTGGAAATCTACAAAAATTTAATACAGGAAGTGTAAAAGACATTCCCTTGGTCCACAATAAGAGAAATTTTCTAGCAGAGATTTTAACTTTTTCTTTTTTCTAATCTGATACAGATGGAATTTTTACAATCGGTGGCGGAAAAATAACATAGGAGAGTTAATTTTATTAGATAAATACTAAAAATATATTGCAACTTCTCTAGAAAGCATTTACTGGTCACTGAAATGGAGTAAAAGACCAGGCTTGTTTTACCCCACACTTTTTACCTCTCCCCCCTAGCTCCAGCTCAAAAGGCAAAAAAGGTCTTGAAACTGTCATATTTTACAGCTTATTCCTCTAACCTAGGAATTTTTTGTTACCTAATAAGGTGAGGATGAAACAATATTATCAATAAATTGATTTCAAATTCCCAAATATTTTTACCTGTCTGGTCGGTATGTTCTAAACGAAGCAGTCTCGTACAGTCGATGCCCCATGACAAGGCTTGAAAAATCTGGCCATCTACTACCATCATTGTTAAATCCAGGAAAGAAGGCATCTGCTTCCAAAGAAACGATGTAATCAAGCGCATCCCAAAGTAACCTGTGTGCTTTCATCCTCAAGTCCATGGGGGAAGGATCAGGTTCAGTAGGGGTCTCGGTGATCCATGCATACCAACCTTCTTTTTCATGCTGGTAAATTGGTCTATCTGGGGGTGGGGGAAGAGGTCGAGGTCGAGGACCAGCCTTCTTCCATGCTTCTCTGAGTTCCTTTTCACTTTTCACAGGAGGTGGTTGAAACCTATTTAGAGGAAGAGGTGTTTCAGGTCCAACCAAGTCAGACAACTCTTTCTCACTGCACAAGGAAGTGCGATCCAGAGTATTGATAAACATGGACCGCAAAGGAATTAACACGCGTTGACCTCCAAATGTTTCGGAGCCAGCCAGGTAAATGATTGTTTTGGAAGGGTAACCCATTACTCGGAGGAGAATGCCAACCTGAAGAAGTTAAGACATCAACATAAACCCTGCATAGCATTTTGAAATTCCAAAAAGACAATCCATGTTTATCCACAAAAAAGGAAACAATGTTTCCAAAAGGCCACAATACACTAGTCCTGCATAGCGATTGTAAAAAATGTTGCCCTCAGCAGAGGCCGAGATCCAACATAAACGCCTGGAAACCATTGTCATATTGAAGACTTGCTCCACCGTTAAATTGGACTAAATCATATATCACTAGATTTTGTACTTATCGGTCTATTCTTAATGTATTCATCATTCAAAGTTCACAAAAAATAATATAAAAAGCCTTTTGAGATTTCCGGTCTTAGACCTGAAGAGTGCGTGTTTATCTCTCATTGAATAGTGATGTAGCTAAAGTAGAAAGAATATAAGTAGAGGACAACTCTTACCTTACAAGAGGTTGAATTAGGTTCAAACCTTAAATTCTTAAGAAATCAGTCCCAAATACCAAGCTAACAGTTTTAGGAGAAAAAATATATTTTGATTATATATCAGTATAATTATTCTGAACATATGCAAACACATGGCATCCATCCAGGATCAGCATAAAATGTAATAAAAAAGACTACTTCAACAATTGTTGCCAATGCAAAAGACCATTATAATAAAACTATTAGAAGTAACAGTAATTATAACTGAAGATAGCATCATGACCACTTCATTAATACCAGGAAACCCTATAGTAAAATTTAGCATACCTCTTCAGGCATGAGAGGACATAGACCTTTTTCTCTTCGCAAGTGTGAATTCACATTCAATTCATCCTTAAGAATTCCGTTCTTTATCATCTGAGACCTTCGATGTTGAATCAGTTCAGTGTGTACATCCTAACAAAACAGAACCTTAATAATCAAAGAAAAATAAATGCAGAGGGAGAGCAAAGCTGAACATTGAAGGACTTAATCATATAATTCAAATTTCCAGTGTACCTAATACGACTTAAAGAGTTTAGAAGAAACGAAACCCTAAAGTTATAAGCACTGTAACATAGACTAATAACTCTAGGCATACAAAAGAGAAAAACAGATCAAACCTGAAAAAGCTCAGCGCAACCATTGTATGCCAAGGTTTCCCTCAATAAGCCAGGATGGAATGCCAAGAATGGTTGCCCCAGGGCTCTTAACCTTAAAAAAAAAGTAGAATCTCTTATACATTAACCCCAGGAAATGTCAGTGAGCAGTGACCTATGGGCAGAGCATGACTACCATACAGAGAATCCATATAAAAACTCTACTGACAGCCTAAACCTTATAAGTGCTCAGAAACTGATACGTATTGAATTTATGAAATCACCTGCAAAGTAAGAAGAAATAGGGAAAATAGAAAAGAATGCACAAAATAGTAATGAGAGCAATGCTCCCCCAAGACAGAGAAAGGTTCTCTAATCTCCCAATTTCCATTCAAAATCTCCCCGTTATTCTGCTCATTTCCTTATACAACAGACTTTTCCCCATACATTTTCTCTCTCTTCTAACTAACTTCCACTACCTCTCCTAACAAAAAAGATATTAGGCCCCTACTGTTTTGGGCCTTTGTGAATACACCTTAAAAAACTTATCCCACATGTAGAATCATACATTTTAAAGACCCGCCAAAAAATGGCTGTACCAAGTAAAAAAAGGGAGTAATCTGCAAGGTAGCAAAGCAAATATAAATCAAATTGTTTTAACCAAAAGAAATGCATACTTGTGAACCATTCGACGACCAAGCATTTGAATCTCTGGACGAAATTGCAGGGCATGGAAAGCAACCCTGCATCTTAGTCTCTGAATCTCAGCCATACTAGATGGGAGTATTGACTGCAAAAATGTATATATCATTCTCAAGTTTACCTCTAGCAACAAGGTAAAAATTATACATGCTCAAACAAAAAAGTGAAAGAATGGAAACTCTTGTTCTAAGACGCTGAAAGCATCACATACTAAAGAAGCAATGCTGTTGAGAGTTGGGAAGCAAATACACAACTCAAAGAAACAAATGAACAGAGGGAAAAAGCATGGAAAGATTAAGGTGATGGTAAAATGCTGAAGAAATTACTATTCCTTTAAAAATAATGTCAAAGAGGATCATATAAAAGGAAAATTGACTTACAAGCAACATGCAAAGTCCAAAGTCTATGATGAATTGCTAGAAATATAAATATAAGAATGAATGAAGCACTCAATAAAAAGTTACGTCCATCACTTTTTATGTTCACTAATTAACTTGTTTGGACTTTCTTGGTTTGTTTAAGAATGAAGCTAAGCTGATAAGTATAAGCATGGAAGTCCAAAGTCCACGATGGGTAAAGAAGTCAGTAATAAGCACAAGAAGAATAAAGAATAAAAAATAAAAAAGAAGGTCATGTCAAGATCTCAAAGTTACCACAAAGCTTCGAAATTCTGAAAACAAAGTACTTTGATAACATTTTTCAATGACATAATTCACTAATTGTCTTCTATATATAATATTTTGGTATCTTCAAATAACTGATAACATGTTTTAGTAATATTCAAAAGGTTGCAACAAGGACAAACATTAACCGACAATTGAAGAATACTGAAATACCTGTAGAGCTCCACCATTGGCAATAATTAGTCCAATAACCTTTGATTTCTTTAGCTTGGGTAAAATTTCTTTGATGTAAAAGTTTAGAGACGATGAACTTGTGGGCTTAAATGATGGGATTTCATTTCTTTTTCTCTTTTCCATTAAACTTTCTGGCAGGCTCTTTGCAATGATGACATCATTTTTGAGATATGCTATGAACTGCTCCTCATTGTAAAGATAGGAAAAACTCTTGAATTTTGAGCTGTATAAATTTAAAAAGAAATTTGTATATAAACATAAATCAAAGCAATAAAGTACAAATAGAATAATGCACAATGGCAACAGAACCCTTGCAGCACATACCTAGTTCCTTTTGAGTGAGTACTTTCTTGAATTTCAGGAATGACAAGAGTCGCATTTAAAAGTCTAGAAATAGCAACCAAATCGGATATCTATAGAAACAAGAATGCTACTGTTAAATACAAACAGTGACAAAATGATTTTCAATAAACCCCAAAAAAATTAATAATACATGTTATCATACCGATGATCTTATCTTTGCAAACCCACCAAAAACTTTTGCATATATGAAACCGTTGCTCTGCTCCTTTGGAACTGCAAAGTAATGAAACACAAACTTGATTTGAAAACAACACGTGTATGAAAGGTGAAGAAATATATGATCTTTATTTTTGTTAAAATTTTGTCAAAATCAGAATCCCCAATTTAGTATTAGCTCATACTCAAATATGTACGTTTTAATATTGGCAGTGAAACGTGTCAGATTTTGGTGATTGTCAGTACTGGCAAATTGCCAATTTGTTTGTGGTGAAATTATGTCTGAGAGATTGAGATTCTTACACCTACAAGTTCTACAAATTTTGTCTGAAGAAATATATGACCATGTGAGTATCAAGTTCTACAAAGCCTTTACCGTTCAAAATCCACAATTTTCACAAGGTACCGAAAATGTTCCATACATATTGGTGAACAGATGGGATGACTGAGAAAATCGGGTGCAAAAGAAAAATAAAGCTTAGGCAAAACATAAGATTGATAACAACAAAATAAAAACTTAAATATATGATAGGACAATGAAATTAACAAGCATTAAAGAGTGAAAGAAGAAAATGGACTTGAAACGAGAAAGCAGTTAAATATGCTATGAAGTAAATTCCAGTAACATAAAGAGTGTTAAAATGAAGTTGCAGGAAAGATAATATTCTTTGAAATTAAAAGAAAAGAAACTAAATGGTAAGAAATAGTAAAAGTGCAGAAAGATGAAATGTCAGGACGAAAATGGAAGGAGAAATTTAAGTGAAAGAAAATTGAAGAGCAAGAACAATAAAGATGCCAAAAATGTAAAGGATTTAAAATTGCATTGAAGAAAATGTAAAAATTAAAGGAAATGTAAAATGTAAGGCCATCTAAGTTGTGTAAAGAGGTACAAATCCACATTGGACCCCACTTGTTCACCTAAGATCTCTTTGTCTTGCCTATAACGGGCGCAGATTTAGTTTTGGGGCTGTAGTGGCTGAAAAGTTTGGGTCCAATACTTACTGATTTTGATAAGTTAATTATGAGGTTTAAAAAAGAAGGTCAGATAGTGCAACTCCAAGGAATTCCAAGGACTAAAGTCCATGAAATTTCATCCCAACAACTTAAACGACTTCAAACCACTAATTCAATCAGTGAATATTATCATATTCAAGCTCAACCTCTATCTCTTGATGATGGCAAAGCCAAGTCTTTTCTCCCAGAAATTGAGGCCCTCCTTCAACGCTATTCCGCTATTTTTGAAGTTCCACAGAAGCTTCCTCCCCCACGTACTACTGATCACAAAATTCCACTATTGGAAGGAACTAATCCTGTCAATGTGCAACCGTATCGATACCCGCAGTTTAAGAAGCAGGAGATTGAGAAACAGGTCGAAGAGATGTTACATTCGGGTGTCATCCAAAAGAGTTTGAGCCCTTTCTCTTCCCCAGCACTGCTTGTGCGTAAGAAAGATGGGACATGGCGATTTTGTGTGGATTTTCACGCATTGAATGCAGTCACGAATAAGGACCGTTTTCCAATCCCCACAGTGGATGAACTTCTCAATGAATTGTTTGGTGCCAAGTGGTTTTCTAAGCTGGATCTTCGTTCTGGTTATCATCTGATCCGGATGTTTCCAGGGGAGTCTTACAAAACTGTTTTTCGAACTCATGAAGGCCACTATGAGTTTAGTGTCATGCCATTTGGGTTATGCAATGCTCCTTCAACCTTTCAGAGCACTATGCATGAGTTGTTTCGCCCTCACCTTCGTAAATTTCTTATTGTTTTCTTTGACGATATCTTAGTTTACAGTAAGAGTTTACAAGAACAAGTGGGTCATTTGCAACTTGTTTTTCAATGCTTGTTGGCTAAACAATTTTTTTTTTTAAATATCCAAGTGCGTTTTTGCACAAAACAATGTTGTCTATCTAGGCCATATCATTACTGAAGAGGGTGTGGAACCAGAAAATGACAAGATTCAGGCAGTGAAAGAATGACCAGTTCCTCATTGTGTGAAACAACTGCGAGGGTTCCTTGGTTTGACGGGGTACTATCGTCGCTTTATAAAAGGATATGCTGCCATTGCCGCACCTTTGGCTGATGTGTTGAAGAAGGACGTTTTTCATTGGACTCTAGTTGAACAACAAGCATTTGATAAATTGAAGAAAGCTATGACTGAAGCTCCTATTCTTTCCCTGTCTAACTTTGAGATCCCTTTCCAATTAGAAACTAATGCGTCTGGAAGGGGCATGGGTGTTGTACTTATTCAGCAAGGCCACCCAATTTGTTCAAAGCAAGAAATTTTGTGACAAGATGTGAAATGCTTCTACTTACGTTAGGGAATTACACGCCATTGTCGAAGTTGTTAAAAAATGGCGACATTATTTACTGGGGCGCAAGTTTATCATTTTTACAGACCAAAAAAGCTTGAAAGAACTAATGACACAGGTGATTCAAACTCCGGAACAGCAACACTATTTGTGCAAACTATTGGGGTTTGATTATGAAATTAAATACAAACCTAGTTCCTCTAATTGTACTGCTGATGCTTTGTCTCGTCAATTTGATGAAGGCTCCTTTGTTGCTCTTATTGTTCCTCATTATGAGTTTATTCACAAACTCAAGAATTCTTATGATTCTGATGTCCAACTAAAACAATTATACTCGGATGTTTTTGCTAACCCCACTTCTCATGAAGGGTTCTCCATTGTAGAGGGTCTGCTATTGTATAAAGGAAAAATATATATTGGTGATGACACTACATTTAAGTCTCTGTTGCTTGAAGAGTACGATAGCAGTCCTTTGGGAGGTCATTTTGGATTTCATAAAACATTTCAATAGAACTTTCATTGGCCGGGAATAAAGAAAGAGGTTGCGGCTTACGTGAAATCTTGCATTACTTGTCAAGAAATGAAGACTCCAAATCATGTTCCTTATGGTCTTTTGCAACCCATTCCCATTCCTACTGGGGTATGGGAAGACATTGCTCTTGATTTTATTGTTGGATTGCCACCTTATAAAGGCCATACTACTATTTTAGTAATTGTCGATAGGTTCTCCAAAGCTGGGCATTTTGGTACGCTTCCTCCCAATTATAATGCTTTTGTGGTTGCTGACTTATTTGCTAATATGGTTTGTAAATTGCATGGAATGCCGAAAAGCATTATCTCAGATAGGGATGCCATTTTTATGAGTGGCTTTTGGCAAGAATTGTTTCGTCTCAGTGGCACTAAGCTAAAGATGTCAACGGCTTACCATCCCCAAAGTGATGGCCAAACAGAAATTTTCAATAAAGTGTTTCAACAATATCTAAGATCCTTTGCTCATTGCAAACCAAACTCATGGGGCAAGTTTCTTTTATGGGTAGAATAGTGTTACAATACCTCTATTCATTCATCCACAGGGCTTTCTCCTTTTGAGGTTATGTATGGCAAACCTCCCCCTACCATTCCTAGTTACTGCTTGGGAAATTCCAAACTCGAAGCTGTTGATGCTGAATTAGCATGTCGTGATGAAATTCTGAACAAACTAAGGGCAAAGTTGTTGAAGGCCCAAGAGGTGATGAAGCATGCAGCTAACAAGAAGCGTGCCCCTGCTCCGTTCAAGCTTGGTGATCACGTGATGGTCAAACTTCGTCCTCATCGACAACAATCGTTATCAAGACCACGAGTTCATAAACTTTCCAAGCGTTATTATGGGCCCTTTGAAATTATAGAGTGTATTGGAGAGGTAGCATTTCGCTTGGCTCTACCACCTCATGCTAAACTTCACCCCGTTTTTCATGCTTCGTTGTTGAAACCTTTCACTAGCACAACTACTTTATCATTACCTCCTGTTACCATTACTACTCAACCTATTGTTCAACCCTTGGCCATCTTAGCAGTGGATAACAATTCCCCACAGCGTGTGTTAGTACAGTGGGAAGGTCTCTTTCCAAAGGATGCTACATGGGAAGAATTAAAGGAGCTTCAATCTGCTTATCCTGAGTTACACCTTGAGGACAAGGTGTTTGTGCAGGGGAAAAAAGATGTTATGGACCATGATGCAGGTGAGGAGGAACCAGAACCAAACGTGTTACGAGAGCCCAACCCAAATGATTTGGAGGACACAATTGGAAAAGCCAAGCCGAGAAGAAATCCTTCTAGAAACCGTCACGCACGCACCTCAGAAATTCAACGAATACAAAATGAATTGATTCTATTAGGATTTACTTTATTCTGTTGAGATTTATTTGTTTTGCTGTTTTAGGAATTACCCAGTTTTGTCTTTTTTTCTCTGCCCATATATATATCCTTTTCATTATTAATAAAAGCAGGAGAATATTTTGTAATAACCCTCGTGGGTGTGGAGGTTTTTTCCCCTTCCCTCGAAGTAAGGTGGAGTTTTTCTATTGAATTCCATAAAAGACGTATCACCATTCCAAAGAAAAGACTTTGTAGTTTTGAAGGAATTTAAATTTATTCCCAACACCACTTCAATAACACTCAAATGAAAAATGTTTCAAACTAGTTTATAATCAAAATCTTTTAAAATATGAAAGCAATACTTTTGAAAAAAATTGTTGTCTTCAATATCACATGGAGCAGAGGTTCCCCTAATCTATTTCAGTTTATGAGATAATAGCTTAACAACGAAAAAAAGAGTCATGATGATAAAAATATTTTTTACACTTCAAAAAAGTTTAAGCCCACTTATTACTTAACTCCATTCCTCCCATGTCTCCCACATAATAAGTTAAGAAATTTGAGCAAATTTATTACCAGAATAATTGCTTCTAGCATCAGCATGAGGTTGTAATGCTTCCAAAGACTCAATGGAACCCCATAGCTTCTTATTCTTTACGACCTGTACAATTTTGGAGCAAATAAAATCAAAATAACTTGTGTCAAACCCAAAACAGATGATCACACACAAGCAGTAAATACATATATATCAAAGACTAACCTGTCTAGGCAACACAAACCCAAAATCTTCAGGAAGACTAGGTAGTGCTTTATACTGCACTAAGTTAACAGACCACAACTTTGCCAAAGATAGATGAATGATGATAGATGCCACAGATAAAGTGACTACGGAAAGAACTACCCACTTTATCTTCGTTAAGAATGGCATCTTGGTTCAGTGAATATACATCACCAATCCTGCACCAGCCAACTTGGAACTAAATAGCTGCGACATCAATCTACAAGATAGTGTACAAACAAATTGGTTCATCAAAAAAGTACTCAGCGCAGTGCTCATAGAGTCATAGGTAACAAGCACAACAACAAAAAAGAATGTTTTGCATCCACTTACCACTGTACCTCAATTCAATTCCCAATCTCCTTACAAACTTTAGTTAGGCCCACGTAAGGAAAATCTTCCACATAAACGCTTACAAAAAGAGAAAGTATGAAAAATAAAATCAATTGCGCTTCTTCTCCCTAAAATTAACTTATGCAACTAACCTCTATAGAAATTCTCTCATTTAACTTCTCTAAAAACTGAAGTATGTTAGTTGATTTCACTCTAGGAGAGAAACCCAACTCCTTTTATCTTCTTAATTTCTTCTCACTTAATTAAATGTTTATAAAAAAAAGGTTACTAGATTCAAACAGGTCTTTGGTATAATTGTACCCCCAGGAAACAATTTGTAATCCCAATCTACCGACATTAGGATCAATACCAGTACCTACTCATGGTACAGCATCACACGTAAAATTTGAAGTGAGTGCAGCAAATAACAGCAATAAGGTTACTGTTATTTCTTTTTTCTTTCAAAAATAAATTAAAATTATGATGTTACCGAAAAGACATATAGTTTAACCAGTCAGATCATAACAAAGGGCAACATCCAAGGTGAACAGCGGTGGATTTCTCCTCTGCAATCACCGAGGACACAAAATGAGCATATCTCGGGACAAAGTCAACCATGCAAACAAAGCAGGCGCAGGAAAACAACCAAAAAGGCCTTAAAATAACCGACACAGAATTGAACGTCGGATCAAAAGGTGAGCAAATGCAGTTGGCCACGAGTCACAAGCGACAAGAGAATTAAATAGGGATTCGAAAGCGAACCTACGATTCGCAATCGGAGGAGGGCGGGTCAGAGAGTGTGAAAGCGAGCGAAAGCGCCCAGGCAGCAAGCAGCGCAGCGTGGAACGTCTCAGCTCAAACGATTGCGAGGTTTGTGGCGGCGAGATTCGTGATTGAGTATTTGAGGCAGTGTGAAGAAAAGTGTGCGTGAGGAAGGGGACGATGGGTGGGGGTAAAGGAAAGAGAGAGAGGTTTGAAGGTGGAACGTGGATTTTGTTTTGGGTGGGTGCTATGGTGGTGGGTGTGAATGTCGATCCAAAATCACGGTCACGCCCCTTTGCACCTCACTGTCACATGGATCTTTATTCACTCATACTCTTCCCTCGTCCCAAGTGCTAAGTTGAACAACTAATATAAAATATCCATGTATCAATAAAGCGCGTCAAAGGAGAATTAATTATAAAACATACTATAGTAAAAATATCATTCACGACATCCTTCTACATGCTTTTGTTTGGTTTAAGATGGTAAGTAATAGGAAGAGATGGAAAATGATTGTTTATTTATATTGTTTCATAACAAAGCAAAAAAAAAAAAAAAAAAATATATATATATATATATATATATATATATATATATATAACTTTTTCTTTCTTTATTGTTTTAATTGTATTAAAAATGAATCTGTAATACATAGTATCGTAAATATTCCTAATAAAAAATTAAATTAATTTCATTTATTTAACTTTCCCACTCGATCATATCTATCAAAAACATAGTAATTAAATGTTTGAAAATGTTTAATTAAAATAACATCACCTTTAGTATAAAAAAAGTTTTATTATTTTTTATATGCGCTGACGTCGATCAAATAAGATAAAAAAATTGGTAAAATATTAAAACATTCTATTATTAGCTGATCCTCTGGGTGTAATCAATTATAAATTATTTTTGTAATGTAGACACATTACTGGTTACTCATGAATAGTGATAATTCTTTTATGACAAAAAACAATTTTAATTTTAATTGAAATAATTTGAGTTGGAGAACTGGATAGTGGCATTTTTTTACCATTCAAATTTTTATGAAAGTTATTAGTAGGGATCTTTTAAAAACTAAAATAATTTCAATTTGAAAAACAAAAGTTTTTAGATCTTGTTTTTTTATCAAACTTATTTTTTATTATTGAATTTTTAAATTAATCAATCTAATCATATATATTAATTTCTTTTAATGTTTAAATTTAACATTTTGTGTAATTTTTTATCTTAATTAAGTTGATGGAAAAATAAATGTTATTTAAATTTTTTTATAGTTAACTTTAATAAGAAGTAAATTCTTTTTTGCCATGAAATTGATAAAAAAAAGATATTTATCGTTTTAAAAATTTTGAGATCTAATTAATTAACATTTAAAATATAAATGTAAAGTTAAAAATTAGAAAAAATAGAGCCATATTTTCTAATTATTAAAATAAGAATCTATTGTAAAGTCTGGTTCGTTTGATTGATTGGTGTTTGTGTTGTAATTTTCGATTAAATTTGATGTTGTTGAGTTATCTACATCAACCCTAGTCAATTTTATTTAAAAAAAAAGAGTTTATTGATTCAATTTGAGCATCCATATCATAGGATGTTTCAAATATAAAGAGAAAAAATAATATAAAAAATTATTATATATTTGGAGAAAGAAAAAAAATATGCGAAAAGTTATAAAATGTGTGAAAAAGAAAATGTAATAAATATTTAAAAATAAAATAAAATGGAAAACTTTTAATTATTAACGAATAATAATATAAAAAACATAAACGTTGAATGATTATATCTGTTTGTAATTCCATTAATAAAATTATAATGAATATGAGAAACTTAACATATTCTACAATTAAAAAAAAAACCATAAATGCTTAGTGTCTGCCTCGGTGGAGAACGTTGGTGCGGGAGGCTGACGGTGATGATTATAACACCGGGGGTGACGACTGGGGGGCGACATTCGTTGGCAGTGTGATTATTTTTTGTGAGAAAGGCATTAGTGAGAAAAATAGCAGGAGAGGGTGCGGCGGAGATTGTGGAGAGAAAGGATAAACTTTAACGAAGTTTCATTTATTATTTTGTCCAAAAATTCAATTTAACAGAGTTTATATTCTTATTTTCAATCTTTTTCAAAAGAAAAATATATTATATTCCTATTTCTAGTTGGTATCTCTAAAATGAATTCCAACCATTTTATTTATCAATATTACAATAAATACAAATCGAACACCCCTATCCATAAATTATTAAATCTCTTCAGTTGCCTGTCAGTATCATTTTTAACAAAATCCAATACCAATAAAAATATTAAAATCAACCATTCCTATTATGAAATTACCATTCCATTACTACTAACCTACTCAAACATGTACTATGGACCTCTTCATTATAAAAACTCCAATGAATATTATGGAAAAACTCAGGGTGAAGGAATAATTTTTGTTGCTTTTTTTTAAAAAAATCTGTATTCATCCGGCCAACAATAAAAGGCTCTCTGACTGGGATAATTAACGGGTTTTCAGCTCCCTATATTTAGAAGGAAAAGGTATCGTGTGTTATAAATAATAAAATACTAAATCGATACTCATCTTATATCAGACATTGCCATAGAAAACCACCTGAGAAATATCCCAATATGCAATAACTGGTGACAAGTAAAATAATAAAATAAATAGGTTGATCAGAAATGTAATTGCCACAGATATATTTAAAAACAGCCAAAAATGACGGCTAAGAATCTCTTCAATAAAATTTTATAGAACAAAACACATTTCCAATTCAAAGACTCAAAAACTTACTACAACTATTTAAAATTACCTAATCAAATAACCCAAATCCCATGTCATCGTCACTTTCTTCCTTCACTTCCTCCTGAAAAGACAAATTGAAAGCAGCCTTGAATAAATACTCAACAGATTGGCAAGATGCATAGCAAACACAATACAAGAACCAAACGAAGCTAGCAAATATCTGTGAAGAGCATATTGCTAACGCACCACATTCAAGCCTAGACATTCTTTACTACATAGACTATTGGTATAAAAAAATACATACCACCCACCATTGGCATTCTATACATAAGAGAAATCCATTCAAGCATGCAAGTTTTCTACTCAAAGTTGCCACGGTATACCAAACACGTTCAAATGTGCATTGCAGTGTTTGACCATTTATCATTAAATCGTATGAGTTTTAAAAAACAAAAACTATAATCGTAATTATTATGGCCTCAAAACTCAAAGTAACTTTTATTCCATTTATTAGCTGGTTTTGTTAAGATAAAATTGTCAATCAATTATTTGCAAGAATCTCGAAACATGAAAAGTAGGGCACTGCTCAGGATATATTTATATTGCAAAAAAAAATATTGACAAAAATCATGTAGTCTGAGGCTCTCAAATCCAATCACACTGTATTAATAACACTATTCTTCTACAATCAATGGCAAGATCAAGATATTCAGTTTGCTTTACAAATGCATATTCAATCGAATGTTGACTTTTAAAATTCCATCTACACATTTAAAATCACAATCACATCAACGATCATAAAAATTTAAACTTTGTTGGGTTTCACCAAAACACCGCAACGTAATTAATCATTTGTGAACATCATCAAACGACAAACCAAATATTCGTCAAAGGCGTCAAAATTGGTACCTTCTTTTCCTCGGCAGCGGGTGCAGGGGCAGCTGCACCAGCACCACTGGCGGCAGGAGCGGAAACGGCAACGGCGGCCCCTCCACCAGAACCGGCGTTCAAGATGAGGTCTTCGATGTTCTTATTTTGAGCGAGCTTAGCGAAGAGGCTGGGCCAGTAAGACTCGAAGGAGACTTTAGCGGCCTTCAACAAAGCGCTGATCTTCTCGGCCTAAAAAGGGAACACATAAACTGAGATCTACGATTGAGGGAGAATAACATTTGAAAAGGAAGAGTTAGAAGGAAAGAGTAAACTAACGGTCACTGCTATTTCCTCGTCGTGGAGAATTAAAACGGATAAGATGCAACCCTGAACGCCGGAATCCATAGCAGCCATTGCTGGATCGATTAGAAGCTGCTGCTGCTGCTTACGAATTAGAAGAGATGCGTAACTAGGGTTTTGCAAAGAGGACAATTGAATATATAATGTTGGTAGAATCTAACTAGGGTTTCCTTTCGTTTGGGTACTGGTACATGGGCCTTCGAGGTTATTTGGGCTGGGTACTTTACTTTACCATGTAAATCTTAAAAGGATGCATTTTTAGACATTTTTAAAATCAAGTATTTGATAAAAAAAAATATCTTATATTTTTTAATAATTTTTAAGTAATATCATTAACATTTTATCCATGTATTCATAATTTTTGTCTTCATTTTTAATCTTGCCTATAGATTATTTTATTTACTTTGTATATTATTTGTAGTGTTAGAAAAACTTAATAATTTAATATAAAACTAAAAGTAAAAAGAAAATTGCATCATTTTTAGATTTAATTTTTAAATAATAAAAATAAGAATTGTTTTAAAATCAATTTTAACAAACATAATTAAAAAATAGGTTAATAATATATCATTGAATTATCTTCTCAATCATAATTTTCCGCCAAAATTAAAACAAGATAATAAACCTTAATTTATATTAAAAGACAAGTTAATAGGCTGATAAACTGAATCATCATAATATTTTTAATAAATTTAATAATAAAATTATTATTTATTTATCAAAATTTCAACATATATTTATTTTAAGTTAATATAATAATTAACATATTATTTTACAAAATTATAATTTAAAATATTTATAATAAAAATTATATAATAATAAATAATATAAAACTTGTAAAAAAAAATTATATTAAAAATTTTAAATAATTATATATTTTTTATTTGATAAAACGTTATATTATTTTATCTTTTAATAATTTTTACACTTTTAATTTAAATTTAAATTTTTAATTTAAGTTATAAAATAAATACAATTAGTGTTTACATTAATAAGAACTAGGAAAAAAAACTTGTGTTTAAATAAAAAAAATATTTTTTATTATAAATAAGAATAAAAAAATTATTTTTTATATATTTTAATTTTATATATTATTTTATAATTAATTATATTATAATAAAAAATATTTTTTATTAATTAACGGAACGTAATTTATCTTATTCCACCTGCATACTGATATGATAATAAACTTGACGAATTAATGAGATAAAAATACCAACTCATTTAAAGTATCACCACAACGAACTAATGGAATGAACAACTGACCGAACCATTTTTTCATCCGACATGGATTAGATAATATTTTGTTTGCTACCTGATAAATTAACATATTTGTGTGATGTAATAATAGGAAAAGATGACGTAATTGGAGGTCAAGCCGTGAAAGAAGAAGAGTCAAGAAAGTTGGGTTTCGGTTGAATCAGAGAATGATTCAACCGCGTGTCATACTGCTACCAGAGTCTATCACTATTTCTTCGCACCCTTTCATTTAATTCAATATAAATACTCTCATAGTTATTATATCGTTACATACACAGCAACAACAACAACCTCTGCAGAAGAAGAATAGACCCTTTCCATAACCAGTTTTTTCCAATTCCCGTAACAACACCCTGATGATGTCTATGTTCAGCCACTTCGAGATTGCGCAGGGCCAGACGTGGATGTTTTCCTTGGGCATGGGACCCGAGAAAGGATTGAATTCGAAACCCAACACGGAAGGCACTTCTTCTTCCACCGCCGAGTCCAAAACTGCCAGAAAAAATCCGAATCCGTCACCGCCCGGTGAACCCAAGCAAAACCCGACCCGTTTGAAACCCAGATTTGCGCTGGAGTTGGACGGGTTACACTGCTTTGAATCTATCGTGCCCTGTTAGATGGTTTCCTTTCGTCTCTGAGCTGAATTCGTTTGACATCAGCTAATAATCATAGTCAATTCAATTCAATTTATTTTAACCGTGTCATCCTTGAGAAAGCCATGTATTGTACTATTTATGCAGTGAAATTTTGAATTATTATTAATTACCATAATTGCTGTCCCACTTTTATAAGATTAATAAATAATACGGTAATTTATACCACCATAAATATTCTAATCACTTTAAGTGATTTTAAATTAATTTATCAAAATTAGTTATATTAATTTCTGAAACAAATTAATGCCTTGCATCATATATCAACCAATCACGCAAACAAATCAAAGGCAAAACCAATTATGCAAACAAATAAAAGGCTTTTTGAATAAGCAAATTATTCAAATCAAGATTGATTAAATGTATCATGCAGACATTTTGCTGAAATTTAATCGGTTGTGGACATTCTACTCCACTAAAATGGATTCATTGACCTATTCAACCTAATCAATTTAAGAATTGTTTATTAGATATTCAAGTAAAATATTAATTATGTTTTAAACAATTTTCCAATATTTTATTTTCTATTTCTAAATATAGGATTAAAAAGACCAAAATGGTACCTATGAAGGTCTAATATTTATTTTAAGTGGTGATGTTTTGACAACCAAAAACCATATAACCCTTATAAACAACTCACTTTTATTAATATAATAATTTATAGACTGATTTAATACAAATAAAAATAAAATAAAATTATTATTATAATATTAAAATATAGTTGTTTATATAAACAACTCACTTTTATTAATATAATAATTTATAGACTGATTTAATACAAATAAAAATAAAATAAAATTATTATTATAATATTAAAATAGAGTTGTTTATTGGAGTTGTATGGATTTGGGTTATCAAAGTATCATTTTTCATTATTTATTTTAAGGGTTGTGTTAACAAAATTCAATTGATATAAGAAGGGACAATGTAATTTCTCAACCATCATCGTACTATTATTGAAGCAACTTTTCAATCAAGTGTTCATGGAGAAGAGTCAACAAGAAAATTTGGAAAATTAAATTGAATCAAAATTGGGTAACAATAACAGGAGTCAACCAAGGTGGAGTTGATCGAGTAAATGATTCAACTACGTGTCAATGCGACGAAACTTCTAGCAGCGTCCACCCAAACACCGTGTGTTGTAGCAGAAGCTTCGTGAAAATCCCAAATCAAATTTCCCACGACTCTTCCTTTGCACCTATTCCTCTAATTCAATATAAATACTCACATATCATCCTTGTATTGTTGTAACATTTCAGACACAACAACCCAAGAAGATCAACAGACAAATCAAGCCTTCGCCGGTGTTTTCAAAATCCTCAGCCCACAACAACATGTTCATGTCTATGTTCAGCCACTTCGAGATCGCACAGGGACAGAAGTGGAGGTTCTCTTTGCGCCCAGGCCAAGTACAAGGAGCAAGTTCCAAGCCCAACTCGGAAGCCACTTCTTCCCCCGCCGAGTCTAAAACCGCCAGAAAAGATCCGAGTCCGTCATCAAGCGGTGGATCCAAGGAAAACCCCGCCCGTTTGAGGCCCAGGTTTGCGCCGGAGTTCGACGGGTTACACTGCTTTGAATCCATCGTCCCCTGTTAGTTGATTGCTTTCATCTCCAACAATCTGAATTTGTTTATAATAATTAGGTTATATAAAAATCCTACGCAATTCAATTCAATTCAATTTATTTTGAGTGTATAATTTTAATCAATGGTTGAGAAAATTATGTACTGAACAGCAGAGATCAATTCATGTTCCCAGTAACTTGAAAATTGCAAGTTGAATTTTGAATTTCTATACTACTTGTTTGACGTAGAACAAATATTTAAAATAAACTATTCAAAAATTCAAAACAAATTAATACTATGGGCATATGAACCAATGCAACAAACAATCCAAAATGTTACATTAATCGAGTTGAGTTTGGAATCATATTCTTAAAGGCTGATATTTAACGATTATAGATAAAATAAATGAAATCAATTTAATTGAAACTAAAAAACAATAAAAAGGTGTAAGAAAAATCAATAATATACTTTAAAAAATAATAAAATTATTTAAGCTAATATTTTTAAATTTATTTAATCAACTATTTATTATTTTTATATAAATTATTCATCTGACATAATATAATTAATATTTTTTCCTTTTTATAAATATTATATTTATTAAAAAATTAAATATTTTTTTAAAGTAACTTTTTAATAAATATTTTTTAAAGATATCTAATTTAACTAATTATTAAAACTTAATTTAATTATAATTATATTAAATTATCGAATAAAAAATATATTTAATTTATAAATATTATATTCAAAATAAATAAATTTATTTATTATAATTATAATATTAAGTAGTTAGTTAATATTTTCAAATTTTAATAGAAATTTATGACGAGATATAAAAAGAAAATAAGGTACGAAAATAAAATACAAAATAAGGTACGAAAAATAAATAAAGAAATTTATGACGAGAGATAAAAAAACTGTACAAAAACAATAATTTGGATAAATAAATTAATAAAAAATTTATTTAAATCAATTTTTAAATATATTATTTATAAGATTTAAAAAAATATTATTTATAAGATTCATTAAATAATATAACAGAGATAGTTATTCTAAATACATACGGTAATTTATATTTTCGTTAAAAAACATGAGATATTCATATCTTGTATTCTTACACTTTCAAAATCAGAATAAAAAATGAGGTAAAATTATTTTCTCTTTTATTTTATTTTCTTATTCCAATAAGTGAGAACAATGATAAATCTTATACAAAACGTACAAATTAAGTTATATTTTAGTATATAAGGTTAGTGAAAATAAATAAATTAGAAAAATTTTATAAATATATTTATTTTATAAAAATTTAAAGAATCCAATTTAAGTAAGGTTAAAAAAAATATGGTTGAAATTAGTCAAATTGTTTTTTTATCAAAAGTGTGTATTTGTCGGAATTAATTTTGTATTTGTAAAAATTTTCTAGAAAAAAAAGGTATATTATTGTTATTTTGAAAAAATTAAAGATTTTTGAAATAATGTCTAAACTTAAATATTTAAAGAAAAACTAAAAAATCATGAACTAGAAAAGGGGTGTAGATGATTTGTCCAAAAAAATCATGAAAAAGCTTTATAAAAGAAAATAGTGGTTCAATTATATGTTATTTAATAAGAATTTAGAATATAAGTGTGAATTAAATAAATTAAAGGAGAGTCTTGATCTTGTTGCAATGATAGTAATAACTCTAGTTATAATTATTTTGATTATTTAGCAGTCATCAGTAACTTATAAAAAATTTTATTTAAGAGGAATTACAAGAAATATTTGAATAGTATTTTTAATAGTGATTTATATATATATATATATATATATATATATATATATATATATATATATACTCAATCTAATTGAAACAAAAATATTAATAATTTATCTTTGTTTTCAGAAATATATATTAATAATTGTATTTTAGATTATATTAAAAAATATAATAACAATTATTTATAGTGTGTTTTTAATAATAGAAATTATAATAGAAGTGAGAATTATAATTTTAGTTTAATAACTAGTATGAATGATATAAATGATAGAGAAAATTTTAAGAAATTTTTTAAGGACAAAAATTGATGCATTTGTGAATTAAATATGAAATTTATTATGAATTACATTATACAAAAATTTTGAAATAAAAAATAAATATTTGTCAATTTGTGGATATTATTTGAAAATAAATAGTTAAGATTGAATCAAATTTTCTTGATTTGAATATTTGGAATTCAAAAAAATATTCGATTTTTATTCTCCAAAAGTTATCTATTCTATAAGATTTAATTTACTAAAAAATAAAATTAATCTTTCATAATATTGTCATATTTAGTGTGTGGCTTATTAGCTTCTTAGAACAATTAAAAAAAATAATCCGACTAATTTTAAATTAATAGTATACATTAATAAAAAATAACTAATAATCAAAATATCACTTCGAATTATCTAAAAATAAACAACTGGTCAAAATAAAAAATATAAAATGAAAAAATAAAATATTATAGCAACTGAAATATTATAAAGCGTAAAAAAAATTATTTAACTGCAAAGCAATAAAAATATATAAATAAGTGAAAAAGTGAAAGAAAGAGATAATATGTATACATATTTAATACAAAATAAATATAAAAAATGGAATTATTTTCAAAAATTGTATTTTAATTTATTTAAATTGGAAGTTGAAATTGTTAGTAAATCAATATAGTAAACAAACCATTTCACCAAATTATGACTAATAGGAGTGTTTAAAATTTATTCACTTTTTTAATTGTATTGAGTTTAAATAACTGGATGGTTTAAGTTTTAAAAATTGAATCTTTTAAAGTCGCAGTGATTCTATTCTATCTCACTGCAAACTGCTTCCACTAAAGGCAACGAGACAGCCTCCGATTAGTGGCAGCAAACATCTCATAACGAAGAGAAAACACAATCAACGTAAGGGATCACTAAAAAGTATTTTGGTCGGTAACAACCTATTCAGAATTAGAACTAAGGAAAATATGAAGCATGTGCAGATTTCATTGATACCCAAATTGCGTCCTTCTCGTTTTCCCATTACCGACCTTATGCATAGCATTGGATTTAATGGTCTCCACTCCACTCTCCTTCAAGATCATATATCTTCTGCTATACTTGATTAGAGTCAACAAAGGAAGGAAAAACATTTTTCTTTAAGAAGGCAGAAAAAATTGAAAGGGGAAGAAGACTGAAGGGACGGTGGAGGAAAAAAAAAAAATACAGGAGCTAAATGACACGTGTGCAGTTCTAACACAACAATGACGTTGTTTTATAAAATGGGTTGAAAAAATAATTTGTGAATTTTCTCGCATTATCGTGTAATCATGCAATCTATTTTAGGTTGGCAAATTATTTAGGAAGTATTATTGGATAAAATTAAATTAAAAAATAAAAAAAATAATTAGTTTAAGAGTTTATTGAGGTAAAATTATATAAAAAGATAATTGAGGATTTATTGGAAAATTTTGATATTGATGATGTCTTATTATTTGATTTTGGGAATATGATATTAGGATTTTGTGATTGTATATATCATTGTATTTTTTTTAATGAGATATGACAAATAATCAATAAAAGTTAGTCTTTAAAAATTTTTTGTTATCAAATTGGTAGTAAGAGCTTAGATGTTTTTTTAGAAGAATCAAAGTTTATTAAGAGAGTTAAAACTTGAGTTTTTTAGTGTCAAAAAAAGTTGAAAAATTAAAATGGTTGGTCAAACGAATACTGCAGTTGAGCCCGATCGACAAAAAATATGTTAATTATAATAGATGAAATATCTAAATGAAGATTTTTCTCAAAATCCAAGATTGTTACGAAGTAGTAGATCATTTTGAAGAACCAAAAACCATGGAAAGGATGGATGACCTTCTCTCCCATGACATTGAAGGAGCAACGTTTGAAGAATAATGCAACTCTATTTATGTTGTTTCAAGTTGTAAAAGATTCTAATTTTGAGAAGATCTTGTACGAGCTACATCTGTAATCGAAGCATGGGACGTGTTGGAGAAGGAGTACAAGAACAATAGTCGAGTCACACGAATTCAACGATAAACGTTGCGTAGTGAGATGGAGAGCATGAAAATGAAGGAGTCAGAAAGAGTTTCCAATTACATCTTGCGTGTTGAAAACGTGGCGAAATAACTTAATATAAATGGAGAGGCGTTTTCTACATAACAAATCGTTGAAAAGATCTTAAGATCATTACCACATGAATTTGAGAACGTAATGTGCGCGATAGAGCAAGCAAATAACTTGTCCGAGCTTACAATAAAAGAGTTGGTTGGTTCTCTTGAAGTCTATGAACACTAAAAGAAGAAAAAAAAAAGAGACAAATGTACAATTGCTCCAGAACGGGACAAAAAAAATAAAAGGCTCTCTATTATTATAATAATAGAGGTAGAGGACGAAGACGTAGTGATTGAGATCGAGGTGGCAAGAAAGAAGAAGGAAATTCAAAACTAGCGAAGTAGTGGATGTGGTTTGAGAGGAGGTCGATCATCGAGTCATTATAATAGTAAGTACTTCAATTGTGACAAATATAACCATTATGCAAATGACTGTTACTCAGACAAGTGTTATAATTGTGATGAGATTTAACACTTTGCAAAAGAATGTCAAAAGGTGAAAAAGACCTATTTCGCAGAAGAGACAAAAATGGAAGAAGCAATATTGTTGTTGGTCAACCACAACTCGGCAACTAACAAGAATGTCGATCACAAATCGTAATACACTGGTGCAAGTAACCATATGTGTGGGGACAAATACCTATTTAGCAAATTGAAAAAATTTGAGGGTTATTATGTGTCTTTTGGAGATGATTCGAAGGTATCAATAAAATGATTAATACTATTTATTTATTGCAGAACGATGACCTAGTCAGGGCAATCCAAGATGTGTTCTATGTTCCAGATCTTAAGAGTAATCTCTTAAGTATGAGACAATTGATAGAGAAAGGATATTCAATATTTATAAAAGATCGAATACTAAAATCGAAGGACAAGTTTAGATGGTTGATGCCCGAGTAGAGATGGGAAAGAATAAAATATACAAGTTGTTGCTGATAAGCATTCAAGAGAGGAGTCTGAAATCAAATATAAAGGACACGTTGAAGAAAAATTATTGATTTGTTCACATGCATTTTTGTAGCCTAACCGAGTTGATTCATGATAATAATCATGATGTTGATCCAAACATCCGAGTTGATGAAATAAGTGAGTGAAATTGAGGAGAATTGGAGGATAATAGAAGAGGTCGAGCTACTACACCACTAATAATAGCCAATTTGGAAATCGAGAAGAAAGAAACAACATTATTGGTGAAATTAAAAAAGAATATGAAGAGCATGGTGCTCGAATTACCGAGCATGGAAGGGAAAGTTTGTGAAGGTGTGACAAAGATCGAATTTCAAAAAAATATCGAGTACAAATTTGAGTTAAGTTCGAGTATGTTATGAACAACATTATCTGAGCTGTTGTAAACGAGAAGTTTTGAGCCTTGTAGATGAGAATGTTTAAGCCATTGTAGACGAGAAGGTCAAAACTGTTATTGATGAGAAGATCCGAGTTGTTATTGAAGAGAAGAATCAAGTTGTTATGGACGACAAAATCCAAGTTATAGAATATAATAACGCGTTGGTGATGACCAAATTGCTGAGTTATGACCGAGTTTTTAGTGTGAAGCAGGTATTTAAGAAAGATGAGAAACTTTAGGTTAGCTTTTAGTCGAGTTCAATTAGGAGAAAAGAGATGAAGAGTTGTCAAGCGAGGATAAACAATTTGGTGCAACGTTGATCCGAGTTAATAACAAATCGACCATTGCAATAATGAAGAATTCGATCAACCATGAGAGCAGCAAACATATTGATGTGTGTTTTTCCTTCATCCAAGAACATGTGAAGCTCATACATGTGGCAAGTCAAGATCAAGTTGTTGATATCTTCACGAATCTAATGCTTACTATGTTATTTGAGAACTATAAGAGGCAAGATGACAAGTCGGCTAGTTAAGAGCTTGGGATGTTTTGAAACTTGGGAAGTTTTTGAAGCTCAACAAGTCGGGAGATTGGTAAAGTAGATATCAATTTTTGTTTCAGAGAGATTTAATTTTACAAGGAAGTTTTGTTGGATAAAATTAAATTAAAAAGATAATTAATATTCCATCTATGAACGAGTATGTCCTGGTTTCATGTCTGTAATGTTACGATTTTGTCATTAAGAAGTGTCTCGATGAGTTAAAAGATGAAAGTGTATATAAACTACCCTTGCCTCGACTAAGCGATGTGGGACTCATGAGTGTACCAGAACATAACCTCTTAGTCGATGACTAAGGGGTGTCTATGAGTTGTAGCCTACAATCCACATTCAGGATGAATTTTTAGCTCACTAGGATCACGGTCCTTTGTTTTGTCCATGGAAAATGATACTTTGACAATCTAAATCCATATAATTCTTATAAACAACTCTATTTTAATATCATAATAATAATTTAAATTTATTTTTATTTTTATTTAATCATTCGATAGATTATTATATTAATAAAAGTGAATTATTTGAAGAGTTGTATGGTTTATGATTGTCAAAATATCACCACTCTTTGTCCATTGTAGCATGTGTGTCACCAAGGCACAAGGGGGCATGATGACTTGATGTCATCATCACCTTCCTCTGGCTTATCATCGGTAGATTCCTGTGAGGGTTGTGCTCGTTGTAAGACTTAACCCAATATCGTACGGTCAATGGCGGATCTCGACCATTGATTTTGAGGATCAAATAATATATTATTAATAAATAATAAATAAATATAAAAGGATAAAAAAAATAAAAATATGAGAAAATAAAATTATAAATATATAAAAAAATATATTAAATGATTATTGTGTTTGAGAGGACAAAAATTAATATATAAATAAATATATTAAATTATCATTAAAACTTTAAAAAATCAAAATTATAAATTATAAGACCGTTACAAAATTTTGGATCGTTACAACGTCCAAAGTTCCAAAAAAGATATGGACCTGAGCTAACAACAATCATTATGTAGCAATATACAGGTGAGGAGGACTTACTTGATTTTGTAAGAGTACGATGTAATAACAAGGGATGATGTAATTTCTTAACGACTGGGAAAAGATAAAGGCGTTTTACAACAGAAACATAGAATAAAGGAAGTCTTCTCGTGTTTAATATTCCCATGATCCCGCCATTTGAAGTTTACTTTTCACAAAGTTTAAGATAGTGAAAACCTTACTTAACGGCCTTTTTATCCTTTTCTTATCTTTACAGGTCAGTCTTTGCTTCTCTTCATCACCAAGGCATCTTCTCTGTCTCATCAAGTCCACCCTTGCCTTATATCTTGATATGAGACTAGTTGGTCATTCCAGTTTCAAGGGGAATAATGGCTATGGGAAGTATTTTTGCAGCTGTGCCAGCCGTTGCTGCTGCTGTTGGATTTTATTTCATAGACAGAAACTATGCCAAGGTAAGAAGGTTGCATGTATTGTGTTATTTAGGAACAACAATAGGGTATGGAAATGTAAGAAAGGTTATGCAATATTTTGTATAGCTAAAAAGTTCAAGATGTCTTATCTGTAGGAAATCAAACAAGGGTCATCAGTATCCAGACAAAAGATGCTATCAGAAGTGAAAGAACGGGCAAAGACCCTTCAAAAGCCAAATTTGGCACCACAGCTTGATGGTTTGGAGTGTTTCGAAACCTTGGTGATGATTTGAATTTGTTTCGGATGGGACTGTTTGTACCTTGTGCTGAATGGATAGTAGATTTATTTGTTATTATGTGATATTTCCTCCCTACAACCTCGTTATCTTTTCATATCTATTCATTCTTCACTAGGTTTTGGCAACGTTTTAACAGAGGAACTTAAGAAACGCGTATAATATCTTGACAAGTCACCTTTTAAAATATAATGAAAAAGAAAACGTGGATCATGAATTAGCACGTGACAAAAGCATCCCTAGTTTATTTTAATAAGTGATGCAGTCGTATTATTTATTTAAATTCAAAATAACGAATCCCAGTTTATCAATTTGAAGTTGTATTTTTTTTTTGGTATCGTAAATGGATAGAAACAGATGTTAAACACAAAATGTTGTCAGATGAAAACATCATCCACGACCAGTATCTAGGTGCTTAGAAGATGATGTCGCTTGACAGAACCAATTTTTCAGTGTTAACGCCAAGCACTGCAAATAGAATGCAAAAACTGTTACCGATTTAAAAATTAACAGACTATTGTATTGTCGTTATAGTGAGTGGGCTATAGATAAATCTTAAACAGATAAAAGGAATTTACACAAGAGTAGTAACCTGAAGATGTAAATAAAGGAGATAACTAAAAGACTCTTTCTTGTATTTCCTTTTACATTGCTACTGAGTTTACACAAGCATACGCAGCCTTGATTTTCTATAGTCTTGAGTCTTGACCAGCAACAGCTACTCGTGGTCCAAGAAAAAAAAAAAGAAAAAAAAAATCGTCACCTACTCCCTCCACCAACCAGGAATTGTCTCATTTTCCGTGATATTATTTTTTAACTATAACTTAATTGGTCCAGAAAAGAGGCTCTAAATTCTAGATTTTCAGAAAATAATAACAAGAGTCCAAAGAGTAACGTGGATCGTCCAAAAGAATGGCATTCAAGACAATGGTTCCTTCTCCCTTTTTTAACTATCTTTTGCCTATATTAGCAAATCTTCTAGCCACACCAAATAAAAGATACTTGGTCACTAGTCCCCTGTCAAGACTACAAGCAAGAGCAACAGCACCACCAATGACTAACATCTTGGGTATGTTCACGCCCTGTGGTTTCTCAGAAGAAGCAACACTTACAATCTCCTCTGAATTATCATTGGTTCCAATGGATTGCAAGTACTCAGGACTTATTTTGGTGTTGACTTGGGCCATAAAGGCTGAATGAGAAAGTGAAGCACCAGAAGCTCTTGCTTCTTGATAGGATCTCAAACCAGGTTCAATCTTCTGCACAGTTCCCCACATTCCTTTCCTTACTCCAAGCTTTGCAATTTCCCATGGAATGCCCATTTCTTCATGATGGAAGAGTAGGACTTCACAGGCAGTTAACTGGCCGGTACCTCTCTTCGATTCCACTGTTAAAAAATACCACACTCAGTCACAACAAGTCTAGTAGTGAAGGAACAGCTAGTTTAAATTGTGGGTTAGACAAGTACAAACAGAAGTTACATGGGGTAATTCAATTACAAGGGTATCAAAATTCACCTGCTCTAATGCACCAACTAGAGTAGTACACATCAACACGCCTAGGTTTATCTCGTTTAGGGATTGACGGACAATCTACTCCCTGAAAGAACAAATAACACAAAACGTAAGCACAAAACTGTAATAACACAGTGGATAATAACCATCATCAGTCAACATCTTCAAATATTCCAGAAATATAGGTGAGCTTTTATTCTCATACCTTGGTCACACAATAGTAATGTCGTCCAGATTCCCATATTCGCCGACCAATTATGTATTCTCTATCCTTACAGAAAAAGGGAAACTGTTCCACAAATAATTAGCATCCGTAAGCACACTGAGCTAAGAGGACAATTAAATGTACTTAAATCAGGTTAAAAATTTTATATACCTTCCGTGTCCACTGCACTTTCATGGCACCAGTAGTGGGACACTCTTCAATAGTTGAGGAGCTTGCAAGCATGTCGTCCCATCTAGGTCTGAACTCATCATCCCAAAACAAGTCCCTCACCATCTCAGGGGTAGCATCTTCAAAAATAGTGCTGCTTCTATATTGGGGAGGACCATCCTAACAAATCAACAGAACAAATATTAAAAACAATCAAATAGGTAATTCCAATACAACCAAAAGAGTTTACCAAGGAAATATCATACCTTTGGTTCTCTATGCCATGCTTTATAACTCATGGTAGGGGTAGAACGATCCATCATCTGAATCCAAGGGAGACCCCCATCTTTCTCCTCCACAAGCAGCCATAGATGATGTAAATCCCTTATTGTCACAGCATCAGATGTTTCTTCAACGGTTTCTGGTGAACTGCATGGTCAAACAAAGTGATAAATACAACGGCGTGCTTACACTACATTCTAATTTGTCAATCACCAAAAAGAAGTCTGAAAGAACATGTTACAAATTCATAGCTACATGTGCAAATCATTTTTCCTCAATTTAATTAAAAGAGCAACAACAAAAAATGGATTAAGACCCTATATTTGTGCAACAACTGTTTATGTTATCAGAATAACAGAAGAATAATGAATAAATCCAAAATACCTAACAGAAGAAATTCTTTTATCCATTCCTTTCTTGAGGGTCAGAGATTCTGGGTTTGGTCGTTGCATCTTAATGGAATTAAGGCAAGGAGACGAAGAACAAGTCTTCATGGGAGACGCTACAGACTTAGAAGGAGAAGAAGCCGAGGAGGGTGAGGCAAAATCTAAGGATTTGGCAAGAGAAGTAGTTAATTTTTCCTTCCCCAACCTCGCCCATTTCGGTTTCCACAACCATCCAACGATGACACCAACGAAAAATGCTATCCACAGAGGACTCAAAAACATTCCAACAACTGTACACAACCCCAATGTTGCAGGGTTCCCCAACATATCGTGAAAAGATTGTGGCAAAGGCATACCAAGAAGAAGAAAGGGAAAAAAGAAAAAGAAAAAAACTAGGAGGGAATGAAATAATAATAATAATAATAATAATAATAATAAGTAGAAAGAACCCCAAAAATCTGTTCAGCTCCTCACAAGAGTTAAAAGGGGGTTTGGGAGAAGGAGCTGCAGAAGAATATTTGAGGCGAAGAAAAATCAGGCAGGGGAAACAAAAAGATGACAAATTTGGCGAAAAATCAGAGGGAGAGAAGGACAAAAAGGATATGGATCGATAAGGGGTGTGTGGATAAAGACGGGAAAGGTGGAGGAGGAGGATGAGGGTTGAGTGCAAAACGACGCCGTGGCGTGATGTGGCCAATGGCGGTGGAAGATAGAAAGCGATAAGTGTTTGGAGGAGCCAATGGGCGTGAAGGGAAAGGATTCAGAATGACCACATAAAAAAGAATGGTGGCGAAGGAGTGATGCGTGTGAATTATTTGGCACTGTGGCCTCCAAACGAAGGAAATCGTGAGGGTGCAAGTCTAACGTTGTTTCTCAATTTGACTCACGGTGTTTGTTGCTTCGTTGGTTGATTTGTAGGCAAATAAATAAATGAATAAATAATATATAACAACAAGTGAATGGAAACAATCGACCGAGTTAGAGAGTGTGGTTTTTTGAGACCAGACTACCGAGTTTTTCATAGGCCTTGTTTTTCACGTTGCGGCAACTCGTTTTTCTTCCATTTCTTATTATCTCACATGGGACTGTTCTTTTGTGCGCTTATGCATGCTTTTTTATACACCCTTTCACTTTTCCCTTCACCTCTCTAATAGATTAAAAAACACACATGACACATCTCATTCTTCCTTATTTAGATATTTTTTTTATAATATAAATAAATTGTGATAGGTATATCTCTTAATTAAATATTAATTTCCAATACATGAAATCAGAACGAATGATTTTTTTTAATATTGATACGGTAATTCTTTTTAAAATGTTCCATTTTCTAAAACTATTTATTTTGATCCCTCAATATTACAACAAATCATGACTAATGATTTGTATTTTTTTTTCCTATTATGTTGCATTTTGTTTAAATTTTGAAATTGCAACATCCACATTTTTTAGACTTGACTTCTTCCTTTTTTGTGACACTTCACCAAATTTCTTAGCACATTACGGCACCGACTAGCTGGGGTTGGTATGTGTATTTCTTTATATTAAATTATTAACCACTAATCATGTAATATATGACTCAGCTAATGAATAAAATTTTAGGTCCAATATAAATATTTTTGTTACATTAATGAATAAAATTAAATGAATTGAAAACATAAGAGTTCATTATATAGCTTGACTTGATAATAACATGTTTTTTGTTTGAAGGGTTTGGTGAAAAGAGATAACAACATAGAAAGTCAAAAATAGAAGTCATGGAATAGCCTCCTTTTATATTATAAGCAAGGTTGAGTTTTAAATAGTAGTATATTACGAAATTCATGTAAAACGATTTTCACTGGTTACACATTTCTACGTGGAGTAATAGTAATATTAATAAAAAATTGGATCCGTGGTTCAACCGTTTGAATTAAAAACTGGATTCGAAAATTAGTTTATTATTTTTAAATAATTAAATTTTAATTAAATCAGAAAAAAATTTGAAAAAGTTCAACCGTTTGACTGAAAAACTAGATTAAATTATTATATTATAAAAATATTATTTTATTAAATTCGATTAGTACTAATTAAATTTTTTAAACTCCTAATTTAATTTATGGGATCCGATTTTAAAAATATTAATATCAAGAGTTCTCATTTACATTTACCATATTAGTAAAAGTAAAAATATTTAAGAGGATTTACATTACTTCAACCTCCAACTTATGTTTAATTAATTCTCTGGTCAAAATCGATATCTGTTTTACTCAGATAATTGAAGTGGTAAGCAATGGCAGTGCATATTTGTATGAAATTGGAGAGTCAAGTCTAATTAATGTTTTCTAAATAGGAGGCATGCATGGTAAAACTTCATACTTTCCATTTATTGAATGTTTGAAGAGACCAAAGTCGATGTTGACACAGGAATTCATCCTTCAAAATCATATTAATGCAAGTTTAATTAAACAAACGATGAATCTATTTGTATTCAACACTATTTATATAAATAAAATATAAACCCAATCTTAACGTGATTGTTCTTAATTATTTGACTATGCATATAGTCAACTTAGTTCTTAATGGAGTGAAAAGTCATCAAACACGGTTTTGAATTTTTTTTTTTCCTGAATATGGGAACACGATTTTAGACCAACAGGAGAATAATAAGGAGTCGAGATGCTCCATATTTGATGAAAAGTACGTGATAACCGCATTATCTGCAGCATCGCATTATTAACGTGGAAGCTGACACTACTGTAAGTGCAAACATAAAGATAATTTTATAACAGTGTTTTGTGTTTCCATTATCGCCAATTATGTTGGTTACTATTGTAATGGTTCTTTAAACTACAGGTGTTTCAGGGTCTCATTAAAAAAAAATTGAAAATTTAAGCAAATTTATTGATAGGAACTTAGGAAGTGTAGTCTCTCACCTTCTAATCAAATTACTCCTATTAGAGTTTTTATAACGAAGTAGACTGTAATGTTGTTGAGAAATTATCTATTAGAAGTTAACTATTTGTGGGGCAACTAATCATGGTCCATAGATTATTTCTTGAGCATAACACTGTTAGATGATTTATAATCACCAATTCTCTTTCTGCCTACCAAAAGATAAGAAGAAACATTTTACAAATAAAAGAAAATATAACAAAGGACGAAAACAATCTCCACCGTACCAGGGATAAAAACAAAATGGTTTGCCAAATTGACATAGCGAAACGGAACAAATATAATTTGTATAGAAATGAAGATGAAATTGAAATTATCCCAGTTCAGCAGAAGAAAAAATATGAAAATACATGAAATTATCATTGCTACGAAATCGATATCCACGGCTCACATGCTTGTATAGTTCCACCTACAGTTACATCAATGGAAAGAAAGACAATTATCAGAGGAGAGAGAAGAGGAATCGCTACAGAAGAATGAAGTCAGAGAAAAGTTCATACCAACAACACACACTTTTTTTTATTCTCCGAAATCCCTTAAAAGCACGTTCTCTTTGCGGTTTCGCGTACCTCGTCTTGTTGCCACCATTTGCTGTTTACCCTCCACGTGTCCTCCTTGACTAACAGCATTTGCCACGTTTCGTTCTCTTTCCATTTTACTCGTTACAATACCCTTTCCTTTAAAATCAACCTTGTCCTCAAGGTTAAAGTGAGGATAAGATTGTTGGAACGACTCTAAATCTTCCCAAGTAGCTTCCTCAGGTTCACTTAGCTCCCATTGTATCAACAGTTGAGGCACCACGGTAGAATTCCTCAATATTGTTCGTGTTTTGAGAATATGCAAGGGTTGTATTGAAGGACCAAACTCAGTTGTAGTGAATGGCAATGGCAAATATTGTTGTTGTGGTTGACCAATAAATTTCTTCAACAAGGAAATGTGGAACACTGGATGAATGCGGGCTGAATTTGGTAACTTGAGCTTATAAGCTACGGATCCTATTCGTTCTATCACTTGAAAAGGACCAAAAAATCGCATGCCCAACTTTTGATTCTTCCGAAGAACAACAGAATGTTGTCTATAGGGTTGGAGCTTGACCAACACCAATTCCCCAACTTCCAATTGGACTTCTCTCCTCTTCTTATTTGCCTGTAATTTCATATAATTTTGCGCCTTTACTAAATTAATCCTAAGTTGTTGCAACACCTTATCTCTATTCAACAATTTTTCTTGTAAGGAAATTGGATCCTGTGGGTGATAATGATATGGTATAACGGAGGGAGGGTCTTTTCCAAAAACAACCTTAAAGGGACTCATACCAATGCTATGGTGAAAGGACGAATTATACCAGAATTGAGCCCATGGTAACATGGAATACCAAGCCTTCGGAGTATCGTAGACAAAGCACCGTAAATACATTTCCAGTGTTTTATTAAGCACCTCTGTTTGCCCATCACTTTGTGGATGATATGATGAACTCATTGCTAATGTCGTTCCCTGAGCGTTGAACAACTGCTTCCAAAACGAACTGATAAAAACTCTATCTCTATCCGAAACTATGGATTTAGGGAATCCATGAATCTTTGCCACCTAGTTAATAAACGCTTCTGCTACAATTTTGCTACTAAATTCAGCTTTGAGAGCAATAAAATGAACAAATTTAGAGAGTCTATCAACAACTACCATTATAGTAGAAAACCCATGAGAGGGTGGTAAATGAGTAATGAAGTCCATGGCAACATCCTCCCAAATCTGTTGAGGAATGGGTAATGGCTGAAGGAGTCCTGCAGGTAAGGTATGGTCCACCTTAGCCTGCTGACAAATGCTACAATTTCGGATATACTCCTTAATCTCTTGATGCATCTTTGGCCAATAAAATTGACTACAAATTCTAGCAATAGTTTTGGTGCACCCCGCGTGGCCATCAACTTTAGAGTCATGAAATTCATAAATGATCTGTCTCCTCAATGTTAAATCTGCTGGAATCATTAATTTGTCCTTGCGGAACAGTAATCCATCTTTTACCACATACTTGGAATCACGTAAATCACCTTGATTGTGCTGACTAATTATTTTCATTAATTCCTCATCTATTTTTGTCATGTCGATGACTTTCTCCGACCAATCGGCAGTAGGTTCGAACCATGCCATAAAAAGGCTTCTTGATAAAGCATCTCGTTGGTATATTTTCCTTGCCTGGCTTGTCTTGAATAGTGAAATCATAACCCAAAAACTTAGGTAACCATTGTTGTTGCTCTGGAGTATGAAAGGTTTGAGTAAGTAACTCCTTAAGGCTCTTTTGATCAGTTCGAATAATGAACTTGTGTCCCAACAAGTAGTGTCTAAATTTAACCATGGCCTCCGTTATTGCATAAAATTCTCTTGTATACGTTGACTGTTTCTGCATTCTAGGGGAAAGCTTT